CAGATTAGTTGGCAAAACATGGTCTATAGAATTCAAATGAGAAGTCAGTCCATAAAATGTGTACATGTTTTTGTGGGTTTTTTAGTTCAAATAACGCAACATAAAATTTGATAAACATTCTCTTATATCAGACTCTTATTGTGCTGTCATAGAGTTACAGTTGTTCATTTTTTGTACCCCATTTAAAATTGTGCAGAAGTGGCCTTTGTGTTTTGTAATGAGTGTACAGTAGATGTTCAAGAAATACTTATATTTAATGAAGAAAAATAAGCTACTATCCCAAGTCAAAAAAAATATGACACTACTGCCTAAAGATAACTCTTGTGAATTAGAAAAGTAAGAGAAAAATAATCTGTAGAGCCAGTGAGTTGTTGGCTCTGGAGGAGTGGACTGAGAGGGCTGTATGTCCTTAACAAACTCTAGTTTTGTTCTGTGTAAGATAGTAGCCCAACTTATCTAGCTTAGTTCTTTTTTCTTCTTTTATCATGAAAACATCTTGTTATCATTATTTTGTTCTGTCTGGTGCTTAAAATCGTGTTTTAGAATAATCTAGTTCACCTTTCAAAAATTATCAGTTATAAAAATTACATTGAGTTCTCATGTCTTAAGAACAAGAAGCCTGTAAGTATATTTTAAAAACTGTAATTTTGTATTTATTTTAAACAGCTTTTTATTACATGTCCCAGATGACTTTTCTGTGGGTCACTTTTACTATCAGTGAGGTTTCATAATCATTGCATGTACACTTTTACTTTTAATATACAATACGTGTATATGCTTGCTTCTTAAATGAGTCAGAATACCTCTGCTAGGTAGTTTAATAATCCTGGCTTATTGATGGTTGCTGACTGGTAAAATTCCTTGTTATATTTTTCAGTATTTAAGTGGGTAGCATTAAGCAGTCTTAATCTTTTAATACCAGCTACTGGACTGGTAAGGTGTGTCTCAGTTTTATTGGCTCCCTTGGCACCTACAGTACATTTTTTAAGGCAGTAGTAGTAGTTGAATATGTGGTATAGCATTGGTATGGAATTTTCTATACAAAACTCTTGACTAAAGGTTGAAATAGCAGCAGAACCTACTAAATGTTAAGTTGTATTATGCATAGTTACTGGTTTTGCTGTATCTTAATACCTGTTTTGCTCAATAAGTATTCCTATTTGTAAAGTAGTGAATTCATACATGTTGGCAGGGATAGGATTAGCAAGAGAATTATTATTAAGGATAATCAAGGATGAAAGCAGGTTCAAGAGAAGATTTTCCTTCCTTTATTATCTTTGGTGATTGCCTTTTTACTCAGGTAGCCTTGGGTCAGCGAACTTAATACTTCAGAGAGCTTTGAACCCAGATACGACATTTGAATTCAGTTGTTGTAAATTTAGATAGACAAGTTGGACAAGTATTACCATTATTGGCTAGACAGGAAATCTGAAGCTCAGAACTACTTCTGTTCACACTGAATTCAAGTCTTTTATTGTTAAATGTTTCTTTCCTTTCAATGTGCCTATGCTAGATTAAAACAGAAGAATCGGTATACATTTGCTTTGTTAAATTAATACATAGTTTTATTGCCAGTAGGCTACATACATTCCCCTGAAATGTATGTGCTTATGGAAGAAGGAATCTTTTATTTGAGACAGGGTCTCACTGGGTCACCCAGGCTAGAGGGCAGTGGCACGATCATGACTCACTGCAGCCTTTACCTCCCAGGCTCAAATCATGCTCTGGCCCAGCCTCCTGAGTAAGTGGACTGCAGGCACATGTGCCGCCACACCCCACTACTGCAGGCACATGTGCCGCCACACCCCACTAGTTTTTGTCTCCTTGGAGAGACAGGGTCTTGCTTTGTGCCCATGCTGGGCTCAAACGATCCTCCTGCCTCGGCCTCCCAGAGTGCTGGGACTTACAGGTTTGAGCCACCACACCTGGCCCTAGACTTTTAAAATGCTATCAAAGTAATCAGAAGAGCCAATTGTGTTAGCTCACGCCAGTAATCCCAGCAGTTTGAGAGGCCAAGGTGGAAGGATCGTTTGAGCCCAGTTCGAGATTAGTCTGGGCAACACAGCAAGACTTTGTTTCTCCAAAAAGACAAAAAATTAGCTGGGCATGGTGGCGCACGCCTGTAGTCCCAGCTACTTGGGAGGCTGAGGCAGGAGGAGTTTGAGGCTGCAGTGAGCCACAATCCCACCACTGCACTCCAGCCTTGGCAACAGAGCAATAACTTATTTTCTTTCTTTTTTTTTTTTTTTTGAGACAGAGGCTTGCTCGGTCACCCAGGCTGGAGTGCAACGGCTCTGTCTGGGCTCACTGTAACCTCTGCCTCCTGGGTTCAAGTGATTCTCCTGCCTCAGCCTCTCAAGCAGCTGGGATTACAGACACCCGCCATCCTGCCCAGCTAATTTTTGTAGAGATGGGGTTTCACCATGTTGGCCAGGCTGGTCTCAGGTGATCCGCCTGCCTTGGCCTCCCAAAGTGCTGGGATTATAGGCGTGAGCCACCACGCCTGGCCAAGAACTTATCTTTACAAAAAAAAAGTTTATGCAGTTTTTACGTGTTTATTGTAGAAAACTAAAACCAAATGTAAACCAAAATACAGTTGTTCCTCCTTGTCTGGGGAATTGGTTCCAGGACTCCACACTCCTCTGGATACCAAAATTTGAAAATGCTCAAGTTCCAGAAATGTAAAATGACCCATAATATTTACATGTAAAAATTATTTACAATATCTAATACACTGTGAGTGCTATATAAGCAGTTGTTATACTGTATTGTTTAGATAATAATGACAGGGAAAAGCCTGTACGTGTTCAGTACAGATGCAGTTTTCTCTTTTAAATTTTCAATTTACAGTTGGTTGAATCCACAGACATGGAAACCATGAATAAGAAGGGCTAACTGTACTCAGTTTCTGCTACCAGAGAGTTTTTAGTGCATAGTATTCATTTTTTTCTTGCATTTCCTATTTTCGTAAGTCTTAAGTTTGAAATACCAGCTTGCTCAATTAAAGCAGCCTTTGCTTCAGCAGCATTATTTTGTTTTCACTAGAATTATATGAAGATAAAAACAAGCTGGGAAAAACTTAGATGGAGTTGGAAAAATAAGATGAGGAAAATACAGATAGTGATCTTTGTAGTCATTCTCATAAATGAAGCTTTTAAATACATGAATTTAACTTTAGGGTCAGCCCTACTGCACAGTTCCTTGCTGTGAAAAGTTAGCCCTGGGAGTAGAATTCTCCAAATTGGGTCTTCGGAATAATACAATGAGTAATTGAGTATTATCCAGCTTTGGATATAACTCTTGTACTTAAAAGACTTTAGAGTTAATTATTTGATGTATTTCATTTATTTCATTTAGATCTATGAGAGATTACATGCGTTTCTGTGATTTATTAGTTACTAATTTTGTTTTACCATATCTGTCATTGAAACTATAGATAATTAGAATTATGTATATTTAATAACTTAACTTTTCTGACCGCCCCACCCCAACTCCATTCCCTTTGTTTTATGTGTCTGTTGACTTGAAGTGCCCCTTGAACAGCATATCAGTGCTTCAGCTCTCGATCTGTGTGGTGACTTAGATGAGGTCAGAATAGATGAGATAGTTTTCTCTTTCACCCCACCTCTTAGACAGCAGCATTTGGTTCTTACATCTTATGTGTATTTTCCACACATTGCTGTTTTGGTTTTGGTTTTGTTTTTAAAGATGGAGTCTTGCTGTGTTGCCAGGCTGGAGTGCAGTGGCTCAACCTCGGCTCACTGCAACCTCTGCCTCCCGGGTTCAAGAGATTCTCCTGCCTCAGCCTCCTGAGTAGCTGGGACTATAGGAACGCACTACCATGCCCGTCTAATTTTTGTATTTTTAGTAGAGACGAGATTTCACCGTGTTGGCCAGGATGGTCTCAATCTCTTGACCTCGTGATCCGCCCACCTTGGCCTCCCCAAAGTGCTGGGATTACAGGTGTGAGCCACAGCGCCCAACCTGAAAATTTATTTTTAAAGAATTTATTGTCTGGGTGTGGTGGCTCAGACACACAGAGGAGGGCAGATCACCTGAGGTCAGGTGTTCGAGACCAGCTTGGCCAACATGGGGAAACCCCCATCCCGTCTCTACTAAAAATAAAAAAATTAGCTGGGCGTGGTGGTGTATACCTGTACTCCCAGCTACTCAAGAGGCTGAGGCAGGAGGATTGTGTGAACCCAGGAGGCAGAGGTTGTAGTGAGCCAAGATCGCACCACTGCACTCCAGACTGGCAATAGAGCAAGACTCCATCTCGGGCAAAAATTTTTTAAAAAAAGAAAGAATTTATTTATTCTTTATAAAGATTCTAAACTATTACTGTGATGACTACTATGTAGTATCACATGTAATAGTGGTAATGAGTTTTCTTCTGAGATTAATTGCAGAGCTTGTCTTTTGCATGGGTCCAATATTTTACTTTTCAGTGTGTTTTATTTGTGCAGGACAATTTGCCCTTCAGTTATCATACCAAAACAATATAAACCCTCAACTCCTTTGAGTTTGTTAAAGATTACTATGATAATACAATGCCTGCCAAACTAAGCATTTGAGTTCATGCCCATACATGGGTTTGGTGTTCCAAATAGTTAAATCCTGTATTGATTGATGTGTTTAGGGAACAAGATTGAACAAAAGATCTTCTAACCGATTAGAACATTTAGCTTTCTTTTTTAGTCAATAACCCTTTACTTGAAACACAGCAGAAGATATTATTAACATCTGCCTAAATTTTTTCATTGCCACATATGGAAGTAAGTGACCCCACTGTCACTGTTCCATGTTTTCTTGTGAAGAGCTAAATTGCCACTACCCAACTGTGACACTGCAGGGTAGTGTGGACCAACTCCTGCAGGCAAATCAGAAAAAAAAGCTAGGATAGTAAGAAAGGAACCTAGAAGAACCTTAATTGGAAATTTAAAAAAACAAAGTTCAAAGACCCTGCTTTTTATTAATGTATTTCTGTTTATGCTTTTCAGGGGGTGAAGCCAGCCAGTTTTGACAAAGTAGCAATTCCTGAAGTGAAGGAAATTATTGAAGGATGCATACGACAAAACAAAGATGAAAGGTAAGTTGCCTCTTTTGACCTGAGTGATACTTGAACAAAACCTAAAAAGTAATGTGCTTTGAGTACAACACTCATTCTTCGGTGTATTTAATATTTGTGATTGGTTTCTCTATTTGTGCCTGTAACATTTTTAAAGATAGGGTTTTGTTCATTATGGTTATACAGATGTGATATACTGGAACACTGTAAAAATATGGTTTGGTAGAGTTTCAGTAAACCAGAACCACCGTAAACATAGCTACATTCCATGAGAACTACTTACTTAAAACATCAGCATGATTTGTAAAACTCAAAAAAGAGTTTAGTATCTAACACAGGAAATCTTTCCTTAGTCCTTTATCATTGAATTCTAAATGGTGAAATAAAACCTTGGCTCTTTAAAGTCAACTCAACTATTATAGGTCTGATTTGCTGTCCTTATGCCGGAATTGAAGAAGAGCAAAACACAAAAATTCCTAAGTAAAAAGAGAAGGCTTCACCCAGGGGTTAGAAAGAGATGTGGCTTAGTCATTTGTACTAACAGAGGACTTTTCTTAGAGGAGTAGCAAGTATCTGATCTGCCATATAGCTGATTCATCACCCGTTAGGCATGGTGAAGGTCCAGTGTCTGCTTTTGGAAAACAGTCTATCTTTGCCACCCCCTTCCATCCTCCAAAAAAGAAAAAGGAGACCAGCTAGTACAAATATAAATTGCAAATTGAGCATAATCAACCACCCGAAGAATGAGAGCAACCAGATATATCAACCAAATTAAAGAATTCCATCATTTCACCTCTCCAGTCTCATTCTTTTTATAACATCATTATTTAGGAGAGCTTAACTTCATGGTTTTTAAGTCTTTATTAAGTAAAAATTTAGTTTGAGTTTTCATTTGTATATATGCTGGGTCATTAAATCTCTTCAGGAACTTTTCTTTTTTTTTTTTTTTTTTTTTTACTATAAACAAAGGAATGTTTGTTTCAACTCTTTTTTTTTTTTTTTTTTTGACATAGTCTTGTTCTGTTGCCTAGGCTGGAGTACAGTGGCACAGTCTCAGCTCACTGCAACCTCTGCCTCCCGGGTTCAAGTAATTCTCCTGTCTCAGCCTCCTGAGTAGCTGGAACTATAGGTGCACATCACCACGCCCGGCTAATTTTTGTATTTTTAGTAGAGACGGGGTTTCACCATATTGGTCAGGCAGGTCGCGGACTCCTGACCTGAGGTGAACCACCCACCTTGGCCTCCCAAAGTACTGGGATTGCAGGTGTGAGTCACTGCGCCCAGCCTGTTTCAACTCTTGATGGAGCAGCTTATTAGATTATTGGCATATTGAAATAATTTTATCTGAAGACTGTTTCGCAATCAGACTTCTGCTTGCCCAGTACACAAATTATTGAACAAGGATTAAGAGAACTTATTGGTGTAAATAAAGCTTACTGTTAGAAGGTACCAAACTAGAAACAAAAATATTTATTTTCTAGTTTTTATTTCAGCATTTACACCTTTTATAACTGTGAGCAAGATTCTCAACCTTTCTGCGCCTCCATTTCCCAATAATCAGGAGATGATATTGAATTGGGTGTTGGTCAACAAGATCATAAATTTGAAGATTTATGTTACTTATAAAATGCTATATAAATGATCATGTGGTATTTTGAAGCTTTAATAGAGCCAATTGTGTTAGCTCACCATTACTAGTGTACTATTACTAAAGAGATCATTGGATTTAAAAATTATCACTATCAGTTCTTATTCATGAATGAGATTGTTATGATGTTTTATAACTTGAGAGTAAACCTCTGTAGTTACCATTCAAATGCAGCAATGTAAAAATGAGTTACAAACTTTCCCATGTATTTTTTCCCATTTTTTTTCTTCTGTGAATAATAATAATTGGCCACATTTGAAAATTATTTTTTCAAACTAATGGTGTTTTATTTTTGTTCCTTTTCTTTCCCCTCTGTTTGGAAGATATTCCATCAAAGACCTTTTGAATCATGCCTTCTTCCAAGAGGAAACAGGAGTACGGGTAGAATTAGCAGAAGAAGATGATGGAGAAAAAATAGCCATAAAATTATGGCTACGTATTGAAGATATTAAGAAATTAAAGGGAAAATACAAAGACAATGAAGCTATTGAGTTTTCTTTTGATTTAGAGAGAGATGTCCCAGAAGATGTTGCTCAAGAAATGGTAAATTGGCATTAACTAGCCATTTAAAAATTGATTTAGACTTATATACATCGATACTATTATTAAGCAAAAAAGCAGTTGATGAAGTGCTGTGTGTGACATATCCCATTGACAGAAAATTGTGATGGCCCTAAAAGTTATTAGTGGGATTTTCCAGTGTGTGTTTTTTGTTTTTTTAACTCCCTTCTTTTTATTGCTTTTATAATGGGTGTTAGATTTTATAGTCTTTTTTAAAAGTAAATTTTTTTGAGGGAGAGAGAGACAGGGTCTTGCTCTGTCACCAGGCTGGAGTGCAGTGGCCTGATAATCACAGCTTACTGCAGCCTTAAACTCCTGAACTCAAGCAGTAGGGACGTGCCACTATGCCTGACTAGTTTTTGTATTTTTAGTATAGGCAGGGTTTCACCATGTTGGCCAGGCTTGTCTCGAACTCCTGATCTCAAGTGATCCTCCCACCTCAGCCTCCCAAAGTGCTGGGAGTACAGGTGTGAGCCACTTCACCTGGCCAAAAGTTATTTTTGAGAAAATATGTAGAGAGATATATATACACATAGGGATAGATGGATGAGATAGATAGGTAGAACTAGTAGAATGCATTCTAAAGTCATTTTGAAAGGTCTGTAAGATTGAGTGACTCTCAGTTTATATAAGCATCATTCATTTAGAATGACAAGTTACATTTCTACATATTGGTGCATTAGCCTTTGATCAGTTATCTGGATGAACCCTATAAACAGACATAGGACCATGAATTGTTTTTACTTTGAAGAGAGTTTTCCTGATCAAATATTAGTAGGAAGCCTTTGATGTATTATTATTTGAAGTATGTCTAAAAGATCACTCTTCCATAAGGAAACCCTTCCCCAAATTTATGCTTGCCATAGTGCCCAAAATAGCTAATTATTATGGAAAGATAACTCAGAATATCTCTACTCAGATTTATAAGAACCATTCAAAAGTGGTAGTTGCCTCTGGGAAGAGATCAGGTATGAGTTACTTGTGTTTAACTGTTAGTTGTTTGTATTATCTGAGCTTTTTGGCTGTTTTGGAGGGGAGGAGCAGTGTTAAATCTTCATATTTGTACCACAGTTGTTTTATCAGATTAAGTGGTTGCCTTGTAAAAGAAAGTAAAGTCAACACAGGTTAATGTTAATGGTTACGTGTGAGGGGGAAATACAGTGAATAGAACAGAGTACCTTACTTGGTTTAGGAACTGAGGTTTTCGTTGCCCCATTGTTTTGTTGTTTGTTATAAGGAGTGAAGGTATACCTACCCTTCGAGTTTCTGCAAAAATGGTGGTACCCACTCCTCAAGTATCTACAAAGATGGTAGGGAAATGCATAATGCAGACCAGGAATTTTACAGTTCGGTTAAGGCCAGTCCTGAGAGAATTCTTTGTTCCTCCTCTTCGCGACTTTTGACAATGCCTTTTTTTGGGCGGTGGGGGGGCGAATGGGCGGGTGTTGTTTTCTTTCAGTATACTACTGTACTACTGCTTAATATACCCTTTTATTCTGTAGGTAGAGTCTGGGTATGTCTGTGAAGGTGATCACAAGACCATGGCTAAAGCTATCAAAGACAGAGTATCATTAATTAAGAGAAAACGAGAGCAGCGGCAGTTGGTACGGGAGGAGCAAGAAAAAAAAAAGCAGGAAGAGAGCAGTCTCAAACAGCAGGTAGAACAATCGAATGCTTCCCAGACAGGAATCAAGCAGCTCCCTTCTGCTAGCACCGGCATACCTACTGCTTCTACCACTTCAGCTTCAGTTTCTACCCAAGTAGAACCTGAAGAACCCGAGGCAGATCAACATCAACAGCTACAGTACCAGCAACCCAGTATATCTGTGTTATGTACGTATCTTGGGAAGTGGACAGATAGGCTGATTCTCCTAATTGGTTTTTTTAGCTTCTTGTTATTTTGCATTGGCTTCTTGGTTTTGAATTATGAATCCTGCTATTATACAAAATTTGAAATGGTTGTTGTCTAGCTTCTCTTGATTCTTATATCTGTGACTAGGAGAATAGAAGGATGGGGCAGTAAGGAAATGTGATTAGGATACAAAATAATTTTATAAACTCCAACATCCTGGAGGTTTCAATTTGTAGATTTCTACTTTTCACAATTTATTTAAATAAAATGGAATTAATAATGAAGAATGAAGTGGCTTGGCTACTAAAATTGAACCCATCAGTCTGGTTGAGCTCTTTTAGCAAAGCTGAGTGGTGTATAGACTAAAAACTAATGAGAACACTGGTTATTAATTTAATTACCTGTTTAACACTGAGAACCTTCTGGCTTCCATACTTTGAAAGCTGTGTCAAATTTAAGGCTTATAGTGTTCCATGTTGTTTCCCTTAGTCTTCAGGTGATAAGATTCTGTGATAGCCATATGGATTCCTCATTTAAATATAGAAATCTAAGGAATATGGCTGTAATTCATTTTTTATTTAGTTCAAATCTGTGCAAAGAATAACTAGTTACCCCTAATATAATGGGTCTAAAATATGAGAAAATGTGAACCTCCATTTTGTGATTTGTCTTTCTCTCTCTTTTTCCTTTTTTTTTTTTTTTTTTGGGTGATTCATTTTTCCTTCAGCTGATGGGACGGTTGACAGTGGTCAGGGATCCTCTGTCTTCACAGAATCTCGTGTGAGCAGCCAGCAGACAGTTTCATATGGTTCCCAACATGAACAGGCACATTCTACAGGCACAGTCCCAGGGCATGTACCTTCTGCTGTCCAAGCACAATCTCAGCCCCATGGGGTATATCCACCCTCAAGTGTGGTAAGTAAATGCTTAAGGGAATGTAATACTACAGTGAGGGCCAATGGATAGTCTGCTAAATTAAAATTCTTTGTACAAACCAAGTAGCAGTATGAGTCTGAAGTAGAAAATATAAAATGCTGTATCTCTAAAGGCTTATTCTAGAGTATAATTAGAGTAGTCCTGGTAGAGTAGGATATAGACATTAATGTGTGGGCATTAGCTGAACTGCCTACATGAAGCAACTACATACAAGATTTAGACTAGTCTGCATTTTTACTAAAGGTAATGCTCTCTATAGCACTTGAGTTGAAACTATTCACAGCAATAAAAGCTGGACATACAAATGTTTTGCGGGTGGGGCAAGGAGAGTTTTTCAAAAGCTTGTTAAAATAATTACTAAGTATTTCCTGTAAGATTCTGTATTGTACAAAACACAGGTAAGACCTTCAAACCATTATAGAATGCTGCATGTGGGTACTCTAGATTGAGGGAATCCTTTATTTGAATGACTGTTTAATTTAGCGCTTGTGTTGAGTTAATCATCAGTTGCTGTGTGTGTTCCTGCCTTTTAAAGTCTGTGTTGGACACAAGTTCCTTCCCTAGTATATGTTCTTTTGCTTTTTCCCTTTAGTTGGTAACTGTTTTATTACTGATTTCAGAATCAACTTATGGAAATTATTTCCTGAAACATTTTATGCTTGTACACACAGAGACACACACACACACACACACACACACACACAAAATTATCCTATGTTTTACATTAGGCACTCTTGCTTCTCATATAGAGAATGTTAAAGTAGATCATCAGATAATACCCCATTTCTTCTGTTGACCTCAGAGGAAAATAAAATACGTCATCTGCCTCTGAAAGGTACTAGAAAATAAGTAACTTGTCACCGTATAGCACTTGTTAGTGAGATCTTTAAGCAGACAGATTTCCCCCTCCTTCTCAGAAAGCTTTTAATCTAAACTTTGTGGAATTCTTGCCCTTCTTTAAATGAAAATCTTTCTCTGTTAAGAAAATACTTCTGCTTGTTCTGATTTTTTTATCCTACAGCTTGGAATAAAAGATGTTCATTTGTTTCAGAGTCCATTTAATCCTGCTTTGGCTAGGTCTCAAGATGAATGGCCACAATAACACAAATAAAAAACAATTAATGTACTAATTTTTTTTTAACAATCTACTTTCTCTCTTTAAAATAATTAAGTGAGGGTAGGATAGAATAACTTTATAAAGGCTGCACAGAAAATATATTTTTGTGTTCTGACAAATATTACTTGTCAGCATTTCTTGTCAGTTTCTACTTTTAATTGATTTTTTTCTGGATTATTATAACTAGATTTTGCTAAAACTCTTGTTTTGTTTTTTTAAATTTTCTTTTGTCTATACTCATCATGGGGGAGCATTAGTTCTCTGTTTTAGAAAGCAAGTAGAATGACGTGAAGATACTAAGTATTTGAGCCACTAATATAGCCATGTTTATTGATGCTCTAAAAGCAGACGTTCTTGCTTTTTAATGACAGTATTCTATGGAGGTATTATGAAGAATTATTAAATATTGAGAATTTAAAAATTTGTCTAATTCTTGTCTCACTTCAGGAATGTGGCTTACAATAATATAGACAAATTATAAGTGAAATTTTAGAAATTAGAATAAAAGAAAAAAGGCTGGAGAGAAATTAAAACAGGAGTGAACTAAATAATCATATGATGATTTTTAAATCCTTGCTATTGGTGGGCCACAGATTTGACCCAAAGCATTCTACACAGCCAAGTTTTGGAAATGAAAACATAGTTTTCATAGTTCACAACATCTAAAAGGAAAATAACAGTCTTATTCAAGACAACCTTTATAGTATTGCTCATACTGCCTTATAACTGTATTAAACCCTGTGCCTGAAAATTTTTTCAAGTTATTCTTTTTTTTTTTTTTTGACAGCGTCTCATTCTCTCTCCCAGGTGGGAATACAGTGGCATGATCTTGGCTCACTGCAACTTCCACCTCCTGGGCTCAAGCGATTCTCCTGCCTCAGCCTCCCCAATAGCTAAGATTACAGGCACCCGTCACCACGCCCAGCTAATTTTTGTATTTTTTTATTAGAGACCCAATTTCACCGTGTTGGCTAGACTGGTCTCGAACTCCTGACCTCAAGTGATCCACCTGCCTCGGCCTCCCAAAGTGCCAGGATTTACAGGTGTGAGCCACCACGCCCAGCCTAAATTATTCTTCAGAGATCCAGATTGAAGATATTCTCCCATTGATTACGTTGTAAAAGTACAAAATACTTCCTATATCCAATTGTGAATTTCTTCTAGAAAGCCAAACTTTTTGCTAGTAGTAGATCATGACTTTTTACCTTTACAAATAAAGAGTGGCAAGTATAAGAAATACTGTGAGCCAGCAACTTTCCATCTCATATCTTCTAAAATAGAAATGAGAGTCTTTTTCTGAGGTTTCCAGAGCTCTTGCAAAATAATCCAATCTTAAAATTCTCTGTATCTTTTAATGTACTTTAAACTAATAGAATTCATTCTTGTTGAATCTTAAGTTTGCCAGAGTTGCAAGCTAATATTCATTGCTTTCCCTGTCTGCACCCTTCAGTCAGCTGGTCATTCTTAAATTCATACACTCATAACACTTGGTGTTATTTCAGAATATTTAGCATGATAATTGATCATTATCATGATCATTCATTAAAAAAACCTGTACTTGACTGACAACCTAGAATAGTTGTGAATAGTTGTGATCTGTCAGATGTGCTATGTTGAGTTATAGCTCTCCTCAAAAAAAAAAACTGACTTTGTGGAATTGGGAGAGGATGGAACATTTCTTTATGCAGCTATGCCCTGTTATCATTGTGCTTTTGTTTATTTTGTTTTCAGAGTACTGTGTTTTCACGTGTGTGTTTGTTTTCTGTTTAGCCTCCTCGTGGCCGTAGCATGTCGGTTTGTGTTCCCCATCTTTCTGCTGTTCCCTCTCTGTCCCGTGTCTCTCCCAGCGCTCCTTCCACCCCACCACCAGTGCTGTCTGCACCTCTTTCTCCTTCCCTCCTTCGGACTGCCCCTGAGGAAACTTTTGCCGAAAAGCTTTCTAAAGCATTGGAGAGTGTCCTGCCTATGCACTCTGCCTCTCAGCGCAAGCGCCGACGCTCCAGCCTGCCTTCCCTCTTTGTCAGTACTGTATGTAACTGTAAACTTCTGACAAATGAACAATTATTACCAATGAATACATCCAGGCAACAAGAATTTTAATTAAAATTGAATAAAGAACAGGACTAAACTCAGTTATATTATGCTTCTAGGATACCAGTTATTCCTATAGGAAACTTTTTTTGTAATGAGGCTCTAAGGGGAATAAAAAGCAAGGAGGTAATGAGAGAGAATACTTATAATGTCCTTGGCACATACCAGCATGTGTCCAATAAAATTTACCTTTTATTGTATCTTCCTATTTCCTATCAACATAAAATTCTTTCATTTTCATATTCTAGTTTTAAAAGTATTACTTAATTTTAAAGTTATTGCCTTAATCAAAAGCAAATTTTATCGAACATTACCCAAACATTTTTTCTCCTCACTTTATTCTAAGGAGACACTAATGAAACTGGATGAGTCCTTTTTTTTTTTTTTAGTAACCTTAGTCAGCAAAGGATAACCTTGGAGTGAACATTTATTTTAATTTATTCATTTATGTAAGATGATAATGTCAGCAAACCAAAGGGCTACATAATGTTCCCCCATGGGAGTATTTTTTCCTTAGGTTTCAACCTAAGGTGGGACTGTAGCTCTTTGTGTGACTTTCTTTGGCTCCATTAATGTTTATAAAAGATATATTTCTTAAAATTATTTTAAGCATGTGGGTTCTTGCTGCTGCTTTTCCAAATAAAGAGTATAGTTAACTTTCTGACTAGCAACCCAAGAATTTTCTGATTTTTACTTAGGAGAATGAAGAACTGTACAATGTTATGGCTTTGAGACATACCATGAGTAAATAACAATAAAATGAGCATTCTTATTGAAAATAGAAATCCTCTTTTAGCTATTGTGAACAGTTGGTCTACTTTGCCAGCTCGATAAGGATCTTTCCTATGGAAGAATGAAACTGAATTTTTTTAAAAGGGGGAGTCCGTGATAGTAAATTATTTGCTTATTTATTTATTTATTGGAGGTGGAATCTTGCTCTGTCGCCAGGCTGCAGTGCAGTGGCATGATCTCGACTCACAGCAACCTCTGCCTCCCGGGTTCGAGCGATTCTCCTGCCTCAGCCTCCCGAGTAGCTCGGACTACAGGCGCATGCCCCTACACCCAGCTAATTTTTGTATTTTAGTAAAGATGGGTTTCACCATGTTTGGCCAGGATGGTCTCGATCTCCTGACCTTGTGGTCCACCCCCTTCAGCCTCCCACAGTGCTGGGATTATAGGCGTGAGCCACCACTCCCAGCCGATAGTGATTTATTATAGTGTATATTGTTTGCATTTGGCAAGCTATGTTTCTAAATTTAGTCTTAAATCTAGAACTGCTTCTTGAATAAAAAGTGCTATCAAATAAAATTGGCTATCATTTATATTACCCTTGTCAGTTGATTTGAACACCAGGATGTCAGAATCAGAAAATTCATGGTTACAGCCGGGCTTGGTGGCTCATGCCTCTAATCCTAGCACTTTGGGAGGCCGAAGTGAGCAGATCACCTGAGGTCAGGAGTTTGAGACCAGCCTGGCCAACATGGCAAAGCACGTCTCTACTAAAAATACAAAAATTAGCTGGACGTGGTGGCACACATGTGTAGTCCCAGCTATTTGGGAGGCTGAGGCAGGAGAATCCCTTGAACCCAGGAGGCGGAGGTTGCAATGAGCCAAGATTGTGTCGCTGCACTCCAGCCTGGGCGACAGAGCAAGACTCCATCTCAAAAAAAGAAAAAAGAAATTTTATGGGTATGCAACTGTTATTTAGGATCCGAAAAGTGGACATGTTGTGATTTAACTCTGTAACATGTTTCGTGTAGTAAAAATATAGTAAAACTATTAATCATCTAGTTTGGGATAGATAGGAGAAAGACATTACTGTCACTAGTCAAATTATATATCTTTTACTATCTACCAAAAATCTCTTCTGATTTCTGGTTAGAAGGCATACTATTAATTGATAAGAAAATAACACTGAAGGCCTCTAACATATCACAGTATAATAAGTATATAGGGCAAGTTAGTTCACTTTAAATTAAGTTAAATTAAAGCATACTTCTTACAGTATAGAACTAGTCAGACTTTTATGCCTTGTTTTAGTTCTTATTCTTCCTTTAACTCTTTTTCTGTTGATATAATTTACATTAATGCTTAAGAGTAAACTTTAAGTGTGGGTAAAAACGAAATAACTCACAAAGTTTAATTCTTCATTTCCTTTGAGAGAGAAAAGTTATGGAAAAGCAGCTCTTATCTAAAGCAAAGAGCCCACAGATTGATTTCATTGGCCCTGGATGTATTTAATGGGTTTTTACTGTGCACATAATTTCCAGAAGCATTGTTATTTATTTATTAATTATAAATTTGGTGTAACCATTTCATAGGGTTACACAAAACTACCCAGTTGTGCATGTCTGATGTAATTTCACATATGAATGTATGAATTACTTGTCTTATTCATGTTGATACAGCCTCAGTCCATGGCGCATCCGTGTGGGGGGACCCCAACATACCCAGAATCACAGATATTTTTCCCAACTATTCATGAACGTCCAGTTTCTTTCTCACCACCTCCCACCTGCCCACCGAAAGTAGCCATTTCCCAGCGGCGTAAGAGCACCTCCTTCCTGGAAGCCCAAACTCACCACCTCCCACCCCTGCTGAGGACTGTCGGCCAGAGTCTTCTTCCGCCTGGTGGCAGCCCAACTCACTGGACACCAGAGGCTGTAGTTATGCTGGGTACTACAGCCAGTAGAGTAACTGGAGAGTCATGTGAGATACAGGTCCATCCTATGTGTGAACCATCTCAAGTTTACAGTGACTATAGACCTGGACTAGTACTTCCAGAAGAAGCTCACTATTTTATTCCTCAGGAAGCAGTGTATCTAGCTGGGGTACATTACCAGGCCCGGGTGGCAGAACAGTATGAGGGCATTCCATACAACTCATCAGTACTGTCAAGTCCTATGAAACAGATACCTGAACAGAAGCCAGTACAAGGGGGCCCTACTTCAAGTTCTGTCTTTGAATTTCCATCTGGACAGGCTTTCCTGGTAGGACACCTTCAGAATCTAAGATTAGATTCTGGATTGAGTCCAGGATCTCCCCTCTCTAGTATTTCTGCACCTATCAGTACAGATGCTACACGTTTGAAATTTCACCCTGTCTTTGTTCCTCATTCTGCGCCCGCTGTGTTAACTCATAACAATGAGAGCAGAAGCAACTGTGTATTTGAATTTCATGTTCACACACCAAGCTCCTCTTCAGGAGAAGGAGGTGGAATTTTACCTCAGCGTGTTTACCGAAATCGGCAGGTTGCAGTGGACTTGAATCAAGAAGAACTGCCTCCTCAATCAGTTGGATTACATGGCTACCTGCAGCCTGTGACTGAAGAAAAGCATAATTACCATGCCCCAGAATTGACCGTTTCTGTGGTAGAGCCTATCGGACAGAACTGGCCAATAGGAAGCCCAGAATATTCCAGTGATTCCTCACAAATCACTTCTTCAGACCCCAGTGATTTTCAGTCACCTCCCCCTACAGGGGGAGCAGCTGCATCTTTTGGCTCTGACGTCTCATTACCCTTTATCCATCTGCCTCAGACAGTGTTACAAGAATCCCCACTTTTCTTCTGTTTCCCCCAAGGAACCACATCTCAGCAGGTCTTAACTGCCTCATTTTCTTCAGGAGGATCTGCACTTCATCCACAGGTTATAGGAAAACTTCCACAATTATTTTAAACTACCCTACTTTGCACCACAACATTTAAATTTTCTATTCCTCATTTCCCTGAATCATGGATTTTTGAGAAATATTGTTTAATTTTATCAGTAGAGTTTCCCCATCTTTGGAGGGTTGTGAACTACATATATATATTTAAAAACAAAATATGAGAGAAGCTACCTGATTTACCTATTATATGTGAAAACCGGTGGGAAAAAGAACGCAAAAACTAGAATTTTAGTCATTCATCAAAATCAATGACTTCTATCCCTATGCACATTATTTTCAACCAGTAGTGAAAATGCAAGTGTATATAATGTATGGTTGACCCAGCATTATTTAGGAATACAAATCTTAAGTATTACTTTCTTCCTCCAAACAAGTTTTTAAAAAATAGGGTAAATTTTTTTTTCTGTAAAATATAAAAAAAAAGGAAAATAGGGAATGCTTTTTTTGGAGTAGTAGTAATAATACACAGAATTTTCATTAGTGTAGAAGGATCTAAAAAGACAAAATATATCTTACGGGAACAAAAAAAGATAGAAAAGGAAACAGTTTAGGAATTTGCCTTAAATGAAAATGCCTTTTTAAAATGGCATCAGTTAAGCAAGTTGCTGTGTATTATTATATGTCCAAATAAAATGCTAATTCATAAGGACTGATTCTAATTTCTAGCAACTAACAATCTAGTGGGTGGTGGGCTTTTTTTTGTTATAAGAATTTGTGATATGTTGCAAGCTAAGGAACAGTAGACATCTCAGGCCTTGTATTTTCCTCAACAAATTTAATTTTAGTTATTTATGTGTATGAGCATATACACACTTAGCATATAAAGACAATGTAATGAACGTAATAGAATTCAAAAGTACAGTCAGTGTTTACTGTTTCATATATTCATTTGGTATATTTTATCAAATGTGTACATCTTGTAAAATCCACGTAGAAGACTATGCAGTTATATATTGAAGACATTTGGATATCCTACATATTCTACTCTTTTAAAAAGTACTATGTTGTGTTCTTCCTACTTTCTTCCTATGTTCTTCCCTCATCAGGAGCATAAACAACTCCCAAAATTACACAAATTATCAATTATTTAGAGTTGTACTAAGACACAAAAAGATCCAGAAGCTTGAAAACTATACATGGGCATGCAGTATATTCACATCAGTATTCAAGTTGCAGCCCCTATTATAAATATTAATGTATTGCCAGTAATTATCCTTTAGACTCTCCAAAGTAAAAAATACCAGGTGGTTAATGTATAGACATACTACAGAAGGAATCAATACTTACAGTAGTTAAGCTGCAGTGGAATGTGATATTATATCCATGTAAGCTTTAAGGAACCCCTTCTAAACCGAAATGGAATGACAAAAGTGGGAGCCTTTTCATTTCTGTAACGTACCTGTATATAGTCCTGCATTCGTTTCTCACTTTCTCGTTTGTTTTAATTTGGACTTCTCAGTAATCAGAACGCTCTATTTGGGGTTTCTCAGACTCAACGCTGTTGACATCTGAGATTGGATAATTCTTTGTTGTGGTGGACTGTTCTATGTATTGTAGGATATTTAGCAACATCCTTGGTTTATACCTCCTAAATACTAGTAGCAGCCATCTCTCTCACTTGTGACAACCAGAAGTATCTCCACATATTGCCCAGTGCCCCCCTGGGGGTGGCACTGTTGCTCCTGGATAGCAATGATCGTCCTAGGTACTTAGCAGTTGATGATGATAACAGATTTTTTGATACTTTTGATAAAAGTCATTGTGGCACTACAAGAAGTATTACCAAATTAGCATTACCAAATACCTTTCTTTAATTTTTCAGATAAATTTCAGATTGATAGTATTAACACTTTGTTCCTGATTATTGTATTTCTAATAACAAATTTTATTATGAATCTGACTATTCTAGCCAGCTAAAATTACAGCCTGAGCAGCATTGACAGCTTAGGTTTTCACTATCAGTGGGTTTTGCATGGGTTGGGATTAGAACATGTTGTGTGATATGATCCTTCTCTTAAATTTTTCTTACAAAAGATAACCCCGAGGCCTCTCCCATACATGATCAGGTTAATGTTTCATTTTGATCAAGCAAACTCTGAGGAGATTAAATATTCATTGCAAAAGCCTGACCTCTATACACTTACTTTAAGCCTTCTCTAATTTGTTGTGTTCACTTCTTTCCTTCAGGCACAGGGGCAGAGCCAGGGTCAGCCATCCTCAAGTAGCTTAACAGGGGTTTCATCTTCCCAACCCATACAACATCCTCAGCAGGTGAGAACAATGCATTGCAACATTTTATGGATTAGCAGTGGCCAGAACACTATTTTAACATTTGTGGTTCGTGATATAAATGGCCTGCTAAGGAAAATTAAGAGGCATACCATGTCTTGTGTTCAATAACAAAGAAAAGACATTTTTTCTGAAACACATTTTCTGTGTTTCACTGAAACAGAAAATGTGTTTCAGAAAAAATCTCTTTTTTTTTCTTTAATGTGCTTTTGAACAATTTAGTAGACATACATTATTACTGATATAATTGTCTTTTTTTAAAAGAGGATTCTACACTTTTTTTTTTTTTTTTGAGACAGTCTCACTCTGTCACCCAGGCTGGAATGCAGTGGTGCAATCTTGGCTCACTGCAACCACTGCCTCCCAGGTTCAAGCAGTCCTCCCACCTCAGCTTCTCATGTAGCTGGGACTACAGGTGCCTGCCACCACGCTCAGCTAATTTTTGTATTTTTTAGTAGAGATGGGGTTTCACCATGCTAGCCAGGCTGGTCTCACACTCCTGACCTCAGGTGATCCACCTGCCTCGGCTTTCCAAAGTGCTGGGATTACAGGCATGCGCCACCTCACCCAGCCTGGATTCTACACATAATTTACGGTACAAAGAATATGTCATTCCTTTTCTTTTTTTTTCCCCACTGCTTGCAGCAGTGATTTGTCATTACCTTAATTGTGCTTGCCTCTACTAATCCTGCACTTCTTTTTAATTATTTCTAATCTGTAGAATGATGTGTCAGATTTTACACTAAGAAGTATCTAATGAAAGCCTAAGAACAATTACTTTAGGAACTTTTTTTTTTTTTTTAATTTTAATTATTTATTTTATTTTATTTTTTATTTATTTTTTTTTGAGATGGAGTCTTGCTCTGTCGCCCAGGCTGGAGTGCAGTGGCCGGATCTCAGCTCACTGCAAGCTATGCCTCTTGGGTTTACGCCATTCTCCTGCCTCAGCCTCCCGAGTAGCTGGGACTACAGGTGCCTGCCCCCTCACCCGGCTAGTTTTTTGTGTTTTTTAGTAGAGATGGGGTTTCACCATGTTAGCCAGGATGGTCTTGATCTCCTGACCTCGTGATCCGCCCGTCTCGGCCTCCCAAAGTGCTGGGATTACAGGCTTGAGCCACTGCGCCAGGCCAATATTTATTTATTTATTTATTTATTTATTTTGAGACAGCCTTGCTCTGTTGCCCCGTCTCGGCCTCCCAAAGTGCTGGGATTACAGGCTTGAGCCACTGCGCCAGGCCAATATTTATTTATTTATTTATTTATTTATTTATTTATTTATTTTGAGACAGCCTTGCTCTGTTGCCCAGGCTGGAGTGCAGTGGTGCAATCTTGGATTACTGCAACTTCCACTTCCCAGGTTCAAGCGATTCTCATGCCTCAGCCGCCCTAGTAGCTGGGACTACAGGTGCATGCCACTATGCCCAGCTAATTTTTGTATTATGTTCTACTTATGCCCAGCTAATTTAGCAGAGATGGATTTCACTATGTTGGCCAGGCTGGTCTTAAACTCCTGACCTCAAGTGATCCACCTGCTTTGGCCTCTCAAAGTGCTGGGAGCCACCGCGCCTGGCCAAAATAATTTTAACTTCTGCTTTGGGGGGATTGTTCCAGAAAGTTCAAGGAATTCAAGAGATTAGTGTAATCCAGATACATCCAACAATAAAACTGGTAATTCTAAAATTAAAGATTTATAGTGCATCACTGATACTAGTTAATAGTAATTATTTGCAAGGGAATAATGCATTTTTGGCATAATTGAATACTTATTAGCTATTCGACATAAAATTCATAGCCACTATGTGTGTAATGCAAACTTCCTAATGATAGTTCTCCATGTGGGTTTTTTAATCACCAAACTCTAAACTGGCTTCTGGTTCTATTCGTTTTTAGTTTTGAAACAAAGTTTTCAATTCTTAATTACAAATGGCCCTCTTGCAGTCCAACATTTGGTCATGTAGTCATTCAATACTGGTTTAAGATCAGGAGTTGCTTGTACAAGATGAAAATCACTTAAAGGCACTTTCTACAAAAATAATTGATTAGTTTGGTTATACATGCATTCACTCTGTGATCAGTACCTCTGTAGAACTGAAGGGCTGGGACTTACATGCTTTGTTTTGTACCTGTCCTTTCAAGACTGGTTAAATTCAAGTAAACATATTTTTGCCAACCTTAACAAAATCTGTTTTATTCTGTTAACAGTTCCTAATTAGAATGCAAATTACAAGTCACATAAAGCTGGTTGAGAACGGAAGTGCAGAGTACTAATCTCCTAACTTGCTTATCTTTGGATGTAGACCAACACCAGTGAACTGAGCAAATTGTATGTGCTCTGTTCTTTCTTTTCCAAAGGAATTTGTTATATGTCTTGTCTTTGGAGATATACATGTATACTTACTACCAAATGAAGAAGATAATGAAATAATTTATTGAGTTTCATGGTAAGAAAGAGTGTGAGAGTAGAAGAGAGCAGTACCATAAATGTCAAGTTAAAAGAATTAGGTAGCTCCCTCTCCTGGAGAAAAAAATATGGCTAAATGCTATCTCTACAGCAGAGACAAAAATTATTTGTTTCAGTGATGTTTTTGTTTTAGATGCTTTTATAGCATGTGTTGTAGAATCATAAAATTGAGCCCTCGATATATATAGGAAGTATATTCAGTCTAGAATAATTAACTTCTCCAAGGTCACCTAGATAATAAGGGAGCTAGCTACAAATTATAACCCAGAATTTAAGATTCCTAGAATAGTTTTGTTTCTTCCATTTTAAATAAAGTTCTACAGGGACTTAATGATTCTGCAAATGTACCTTAGAAGCTGTCTTTATTTGTTTTAATTATTGGAGTTCCACATTTAAAAAAAGAAAGGTTGAAAACTTTTTGTACTGTATGGATAGTCTATTTTTAGACATGATTTTTGTTTTACATACTTTCAGGTCCCAATCCCACCTTAGAGAACAGTATCTCTTGTTTTATTTTAGTGAGGAAAGAAATGTACTTCTGTTAAAATTTACTTTATTTCATGGGTTTCTTGAACATAGTAAATGAGGAATTGCTTTTTTGTGTGTTTTTATAGGGTCTCGTATAGTGATATGCTAGATCTTAACAAGGTACCAAAAATAGCTGCCTCCTGCTGAAAAACTTTATGGCCACAAACAAAGTTGTGAACTTTGTCAGACACAATGCCAGCTACTTGGAAGGCTGAGGCAGGAGGATCACTTGAGCCCAGGAGTTCAAGGCTACAGTGAACTATGATAGTGCCACTGCACTCCAGCCTGGGCAACAGAGCATGACCCATCTCAAAAAAAAAAAAAAACAAAAAAACCAAAAAAAAACCCACCGAAGTTGTGAACTACCTACCCTACTAAAGTCTGTTTGAACTGGTTTCATGAGGCAAGCTTGGGCAAAGCATGATGTTTAACTGTTAAGCTAGACCACCCCTGCCTGGCTGAAGTGCTGATTATTAGTCAGTGGGACTGTGCACAGCAGATCAGCATGTACTTCTGGCATATCCAGAGGTGCCACTTCTCCCCAAATGCTCTAAGATACAACATTAACCATTAGCCATTGTAAATAACTGGTCTAGAGATCTCTTTAAGATGTTAATACAAGAGTTACTGTCACAGATACCTCTCAGTTATCTTAAGCAAAGAAATAGCTTGTCCATAAAACTGATCATTTTTACAGTCCTTTCAACTTTTTTTCCTAATTGAGTTCAGATACTGAAGGTCTGCAGAGATGGACCAGATATGACTACTTTGAAAGAGTCTAAATAATATAGTAAATATATAGGTAAATTTCTACAAAACAAAGATAATAGCTAATATTAAAGTGCTTTGCACATTGTACCTACATTCTCATTTAATCTTTTTAAGAACCCTGTAAGTATAGATGCTATAATTATTTCCATTTTACTGATGGGAAAGCTGAGATCTGGAGGTGAGTAGTGTACCCAAACTTACAGCTTATAAGAGGTAAAAACAGAATTTAAATCCAAATAATCTGATTCCACAGCTCACTACTTTGTGTGTACTAATTTGACTACTACCCAATTATGTCCAAAAAAAAGGGAAGAAATTAACATCTCTCCCAAGCAGGAAAGGGAATATGAGGAAGACTTTAGGAAAAAGGAGGCATTTGAAATGGACTTTGATTATAAGTTAGACTCAGATGTAGAAATAAAGAATATTCCAGGCCAGAAGATACAAAAATTATACTGTGAGCAAGGTGAAAGGCCCAAAGATAGAAAAATAGGGGACAAAAACAAAAGTGCCTTTGGTTTGGTTGAACTAGAGCATAGATATGTGAAAGTGTAAGTTCAGGAAAGAGATGGTAGGGTCTAAATTTTGGTATGAGCATAATTTTGAATTAAGGAGGATGCATTGGGGGCTGGGAGTATGTGATTACCATATGCCCAGAGATAACATGGAGATTCTTCCTCAAATTTATCCTTTAGAAAAGAGGGGAATCACCATGTATCAAACCTTTATCATACTCTCATATTACAGGGTTTTCACTGTCCTTTACTTTGAACAACAACAAACCCAAAAAGGTTAATGAAATCAAATGAAACAGGTGAGAACAAATGTGCCTGCAAAGACTTTAGCTCATGTAGTTAGAAATGTTTATTGAGAACATCAGACAGAATTGTTTTTAAGCCATAAACATAAATTTAGTCCTTGTTCTCAGCAATATGACTTCGCTATTCTGAGGACTGTATGTGAATTTAAACAACTGGTTTAAAGATCTCTTTAAGATGTCTGTATAAGGGTTACATGAATAAAAACCTATAAGATAAATGCAAAAAAAAAAAACTCGTTATTTTAATGTTACGTAAATAGGTGCTTTTCGCTGCACATTTTACCTGAAGACACAGCTTAGAGAGAATGTGTTATGCCAGAAAACTGCAGGAGCGTTCATAATTTAGCTTCAGTGAAGGTAAAGATGCTGGTGTCTTTACCTATGAAGAGTTTGGGGGAGAGGGAGCAATATTTCTGAATTAATGTATTTAGTATGCAATCTTATTTAGGTGTATAAATAAATAAGTTAGATAATTATAGATATTCACATTCCTTAAAGTTTAAATATATTCAAGTTGGCAAATAAAAAAGGTTTTCTGGTTTTTTAGTTCCTTTTTCTCAGGTAGGAATTAACAAATGTGTCTTATATTCAGAGCACCTTTAGAATTGGCTACATGTGGTGGATCTTAGTTTGCAGAAAATAAATTTCATATAATTCAGCGCCATTTCTGCTTTTTTAATAGTTAAAATAAGAATACATTATCAGAGGCCGGGTACGGTAGCTCACGCCTGTAATCCCAGAAATTTGGGAGGCCGAGGCGGGCAGATCACGAGGTCAGGAGATTGAAACCATCTTGGCTAACATGGTGAAACCCCATCTCTACTAAAAATAAAAAAAATTAGTCAGGCATGGTAGTAGGTGCCTGTAGTCCCAGCTACTCAGGAGGCTGAGGCAGGAGAATGGCATGAACCTGGGAGGTGGAGCTTGCAGTGAGCCAAGATCGCACCACTGCACTCCACCCTGGGCAACGGAGCGAGACTCCATCTCAAAAAAAAAAAAAAAAATACATTATCAGAAATACTTAAATAGGAATAAGCCAAATATGACTGCTGTTGCCATTGTATTTTAACATTCTTTTGGTGATTTTAATTGGTAGAAATATAAGAAGAGCAAAAATATTATTCGTAGATTATCACCTAACAAAATCTAAGATGCTTATCACAGTGGCAAGATACATAATAAATGTACAAATAAATAGCTTATCTTTATGCCAGCAGTAACCAATTAGTTGTATGGATATTCCAGCATATACGTAAAAGGCTGTTGGTTGCAGCATTATTTTAAGTAGCAAAAGTGAAACAACCAAAGTGTTTATCATTAGGAGATCCCATTTAGAAATTAAGTGAAAGTAGTATGCTATAGAACAGTATGTATAGGAAAGGCATATTTTTATTTATTTTAACAAAAACTATGTGAAAATGGCCACTTATGCATAGAAAAAAATCCATGAAGGTTATGCACCAAACCACTAATAGTGGTTTCCTCTTGAGAACAGGATTAGAGGTATTTTCATTAACTTTATAATATGATATACTAGTTAAAATTTTTATTACAAGTAGATGTTGTATTAAGGAAAAATTTAAATTAGGTATTAGAGGATCTTGAAAGTCAGCCGTAAATTTCAAATTTTCTTTTTTTTTTTTTTTTTTTTTTTTTTGAGACAGTTTCACTGTTGTTGCCCAGGCTGGAGTGCAATGGCACAATCTCGGCTCACTGCAACCGCTGCCTCCCTGGTTCAAGCGATTCTCCTACCTCAGCCTCCTGAGTAGCTGGGATTATAGGCACGCGCCACCAGGCCCAGCTAATTTTTTGCAATTTTAGTAGAGACGGGGTTTTCTCCATGTTGGCCAGGCTGGTCTCGATCTCCAGACCTCAGGTGATCTGCCCGCCTCGGCCTCCCAAAGTGCTGGAATTACAGGCATGAGTTACCGCGCCTTGCCTCAAGTTTTTATTTGTTAGGCAGAAGGGGCAGTACTCTAGGGGTCATAGTCCTGTTTTGTTTGGTTTTGTTTGCTTGATTTATTACAAAATTTAGTATTCGAGTATAGTTATGTGCCGTGCATTAAATTAGGTGTATAATTATGTGCCATGCATTCAATTATACCTGAGTGCCTAGTACATAGTAGATTCCCAGGTGTCATTCCCTTTGCCCCACTTTGAGTTAAATGATAATGTCCTTGTTTCAAAAAGAGAAACTTCATTTTTATGATAAAATAAGCAATCTAAGGCATTAACAGCTAGTAAATATTAAAGCTAAAATTTGAAAATGTCTGTTATTCCAAATCCAGTGCTTTCCTCACTATTTTGTAGCTATAATCAAAACTATTCTTCAAGCATATTAATTATACAGTTGATAAAATAGGGTAAGGAGAAAAGATTAAAGGAAGCTACTGGATTTATCTGATATAGGTGCCAAGGTGAGAGCTGATGCCAAGAGATAGGGAAAAAGGGAATGGCAGGGATGGGATGGGGAAAGGAACTGTCTGGATATGTTATCTAAGTGTCTTTGTAAAGACCTGTTGTTGGGGTGAGGGAGATACTGCGTGAAGAGCCAATGGTAACTCGAGTATTAAAAGATTGGTTAATTGTTCCTGGTGGCACTATCACAAAGAACATCAGAAGGAAAACAAATATATAATGGAAATTGATGAATTTGGGTGTGTGCATGTCTTGATTACTAAAATCATTATTTACAGACACTGAAGGCTTTAGGTAAACATGCTTCCTTAGAAACATGCTGTTACTGATTTGAAATAAAACTGAATCATGGTATTTTATTCTTAGCAGCAGGGAATACAGCAGACAGCTCCTCCTCAACAGACAGTGCAGTATTCACTTTCACAGACATCAACCTCCAGTGAGGCCACTACTGCACAGCCAGCGAGTCAACCTCAAGCTCCACAAGTCTTGCCTCAAGTATCAGCTGGAAAACAGGTAAACTTTTTTTTTTTTTTAATCAGGTAAACTCTTAATTTCTGAAAGGATGCTAAAAGGGGTCTCCATGTAACTTGTCCTTTCATGTGGATAGACCCTTGAAGTAGGTTAATCTCATTGCAAAAATGAAGTGAAAATCACCTCATTTGTGCATATGCATTGTTTAATGTAAGTGGGTACGTCACTGACAACATTGACAATCCAAAGTTTCACTTTTAGTCTTACCAGTCCAAAATCGATTTAACAGGTACTAGAAATAACGGGTTAAATAAAGGTGCTTCGGTAACTGAACCTATGACGTTCCCTAGAATTGTGTCAGCTGTGTCTGATATTCTAGGTTTCCAACTGTGCTTTATTTTCATGTGGATTTCTGCACTGTTTACTATGTGGAATTTTTTTTTCGTAAGTAGTCCTCCTAATCACTTGAAAAGTACCCTGTAGAAGGTATGCTCTTCTAAATGACCTTTTTTCAACTTTATTTTTGAGTACTGTTGTGCATGTATGTGCACAGTGTATTGTTACCCTAATATTTCATCACATCTGAGATGCTATCAACTATAAATGTACCATATTTTATGTACCACATCATCAGTTATAAGATAGATCCCAATTTCTCACATGTTAAAATGATCAGGTAGTGGAGAGGGATGATTGCATCCTAGAATGAGTGAAATATGTGAGTTATACCAATTTTTATTGAGTCATGTTAGACTTAAGAGTTTTAGAAATAATATGAATGAAATCTTAATTCCACTGGGAAGGAATTCATTTGAATTTCACTAACTACTGTAATAGCAGTCATAACTTTAGTGATAGCATTATGGTATATAAAATATATTCCAATAAAGCTGTTTAAAAAAAAAAAAAGCAAACCCCTTGTCTATGGAAGGGTCCTCTTGTATTGCCAAATGCTGAAGCATTAGCAAGTATTTCTGTGACAAAAGGTATAGAACAGTCATAGTCTATTTAGCCTCTTTCTCTCCTGCTCTCCTTTCCATATTCTTATGTGGCATATTAACTTAACACTAATGTATGCAGGGTTTTGTTGGTTTGGTGTTTTTTTGTTTTGTTTTGTTTTGTGTTTTCCTTCTTTTTGGCTAATACGTAAATCTTGCTTTTGGCAGCCTTGCTTTTTTTTTTTTTTTTTTTTTTTTTTAAAAAAAAGCCTGTCTTGTTTTTCTTTACCTTCCCAGCTTCCAGTTTCCCAGCCAGTACCAACTATCCAAGGCGAACCTCAGATCCCAGTTGCGACACAACCCTCGGCTGTTCCAGTCCACTCTGGTGCTCATTTCCTTCCAGTGGGACAGCCGCTCCCTACTTCCTTGCTCCCTCAGTACCCTGTCTCTCAAATTCCCATATCAGTTCCTCATGTGTCTGCGGCTCAGACAGGTTTCTCATCCCTTCCCATCACGATGGCAGCTGGCATTACTCAGCCTCTGCTCACGTTGGCTTCATCTGCTACAACAGCTGCGATCCCGGGGGTATCAACTGTGGTTCCTAGTCAGCTTCCAACCCTTCTGCAGCCTGTGACTCAGCTGCCAAGTCAGGTTCACCCACAGCTCCTACAACCAGCAGTTCAGTCCATGGGAGTACCAGCTAACCTTGGACAAGCTGCTGAGGTTCCGCTTTCCTCTGGAGATGTTCTGTACCAGGTATTGTGTTAGCTAGCAAAAGAGGGCACCATAGAGTTTGATCCTAATAGATCAGCAAGAACAATGGAAATCTAATAGTTGAGTGTCAGAATAACTAGCAATAACATGTCAGCTAGAGAAGCAAAATAGTAAAATTCTGAGAAAGGATTGGGTAATGATGTTCAGTGATTCCTGATCCATTTTTCTCAAGACACTTCTTCAGAGAAAAATGGTTCTCTCAGTATTCAGTGTAAGCTGATTGAATGCTAGGTGTGGTTAATAGTATACCTGACAACTTTTACATACATGGGTAGAATAAATAGAATAGCCAACATGGTATCAACAAAGAGCTTCAGGGTTTACATTGGGAAAATTAGCATTTCATGATATGACTGTTATGTGGAAGAATTTTTGCATCCTTCCATTTAAGATTAGCTAGGAAGAAATTGTGTTCCTCCTACTTAAATCATCTCTAGGTGAAGACAACCAGCAATAAAAGTATTACTGTAGAGTCCTGTCTCTTCTGTTGGAACCAGTCTACTACTTCATTTCAAGAATGTGGTCTTTATATGCCCTTTAGATTATTAGAAAGAGATTGGCTACTGTTCTTCTTTGCTGTGTGCTTTTTTTTTTTTTTTTTTTTTTTTTTTTTTTTTTTTTTTTTTTTTTTTTGCATGTCTTGCTGTTTTGCTAATTTAATGACCCCCAACCTGCTCTAACTCACCTTCCTCATTTCTGTCACAGGGTTTCCCACCTCGACTGCCACCACAGTACCCAGGAGATTCAAATATTGCTCCCTCTTCCAACGTGGCTTCTGTTTGCATCCATTCTACAGTCCTATCCCCTCCCATGCCGACAGAAGTACTGGCTACACCTGGGTACTTTCCCACGGTGGTGCAGCCTTACGTGGAATCAAATCTTTTAGTTCCTATGGGTGGTGTAGGAGGACAGGTTCAAGTGTCCCAGCCAGGAGTGAGTTTAGCACAAGCCCCCACTACATCCTCCCAGCAAGCAGTTTTGGAGGTAAAGAGAATTACTGCATGTTTATATATAAAACATACATAATTGGATAAAAATGATAAAGGAGAAAGAAACAGGCTCCCCTGGTTTAGAACTGATTTGGAGACTATGTCAAACTAACTTCTGCATGACTTTTTCTTACAGCAGAATGAAATGCCAATGTGGGGTCCTTGTTTCCACTGGCTGTTCTGTTGGGAAGTGAGTGTGCCTTGGAGAGGATTAACCCTATTAGCACTTCACTTCTCTAGCTAGCACTTTAGCCATTATTCTTGTCCTTTCACAAACTTTTTCCATTGGCAGTCATAAGAGTATCTTATCCTCCTGTGCTCTGTCAGCAATCATTTTTGCCCTGCTAGGAGAAAGATCTGAATTCGTCTTTATACTTTGCTCTGCCTGCCCTATTGCACACTTCTGGTAAGATGCTGGCTGCATGGCGAGTTGTAGGTTCACACTGCCTAGCAGATATGTTGGCTGACCTCATACCATGCAGTCTATACCAGAGACTAGCTTTAGAAACTTCCTTTGGAATTTTAAGTCCATTATTTCTAGACGCTAAATATTGAGAATTTACTAGTAAATTTAGTGCTTCTAGGACTTAGTGGGGAGGGATAAGGAAAAAAATAAGAAGATTATTGGGGATAGGGATTGATAAATATATTACTACCGAGATTTGAATTATCTTTTCGATTCACAGAGTACTCAGGGAGTCTCTCAGGTTGCTCCTCCAGAGCCAGTTCCAGTAGCACAGCCACAGCCTACCCAGCCGGCCACGTTGGCTTCCTCTATAGACAGGTATGTAAAACTAGAATTCTCCTTCCTCAACTGGTAGATAAGATGATATGAAACACCAAACTGTCAGACCTTTAAATCTCATATTATAAACTGCACCTTTATTTTCTTTTTAAATTTCAAAGTGCACATTCAGATGTTGCTTCAGGTATGAGTGATGGCAATGAGAACGTCCCATCTTCCAGTGGAAGACACGAAGGAAGAACTACAAAACGGCATTACCGAAAATCTGTAAGGAGTCGTTCTCGACATGAAAAAACTTCACGCCCAAAATTAAGAATTTTAAATGTAAGTATTCCTGATTTGTGGGTTTCATGTCGTTAAAGGAATGTGACACTGAAAAATATTTTAGAAGTCATCACATCCAAACCACTCGCTTCATGAAATAAAGATAACTATCTCTGTGTGATAGATAATTGCTTTTTTTTTGTTTTTAGACGGAGTCTTGCTCTGTCACCCAGGCTAGAGTGTAGTGGCATGATCTCGGCTCACTGCAACCTCTGCCTCCCGGGTTCAGGCGATTCTTCTGCCTCAGTCTCCCAAGTAGCTGGGACTACAGACAGATGCCAGCACGCCTGGCTAGTTTTTGTATTTTTAGTAGAGACAGGGTTTCACTGTATTGGTCAGGCTAGTTTTGAACTCCTGACCTCAAGTGACTCACCCGCCTTGGCTTCCCCAACCACTGGGATTACAGGGACCCAGCCAGATAATTTATATAGTACTCTTCTCATTTAATACCTACAGTCTCTTTGACTTAAATATCACATTTTTAGAAAAATGAAAATGTGGTTCATAAAGCTATGATAGGGCCAGCAGTTAATGTCATTTAAATATTTCTTAAGGCTGAGATGAATTGATGAATGTAACAAATGATATTCTTACATCCATATTTCTGTGATAAAGCACTACTTACCGTTTAGAAAAAGAATAGAGAGTTTTAGTAAGTAGCTCAAAGGCTAATGTCTTCTCAGATTTTTCTTGCTACCAGTTTAAGAGACAAAGTACTATTGCTCCAAGGAACAGTGATAACACTATGCTTCCTTAGACATAAAGTCAAGTGCCAATCTGCATTGCTTTTCTGAAATTCAGTAATAAAGCTGAATGTGGTCTTTGGAGATGATGTACCTTTTTTCTTTTTAGGTTTCAAATAAAGGAGACCGAGTGGTAGAATGTCAATTAGAGACTCATAATAGGAAAATGGTTACATTCAAATTTGACCTAGATGGTGACAACCCTGAGGAGATAGCAACAATTATGGTATGTGTGCATTTGGAGTTCTAAGTTTTTCCTTAGTACTTGATCTTAATAGCCATTGCTCTAGGCAAATATGCCATATTTTGTAATCCATGTTTATTTAAAGTTATGCATTTACTTCAGTGTAAAACTAGCACACCCAACCTGTGATTTAGTGATGTTTTTTGTCTAGGCTGTGTCTAACTAGATATTGAAGTTCTTAGAGAAGAGCTAACTTGAGTACAAAATAAATAAAAATATAGGTAAGTATGCAGATAGGACAGAAGTCATAAAAGTGATAGTTGAATGACATAAAGTTTAAGAAATGACACTAATTAGAGTGACATCACATTTCTTTTACAGGTGAACAATGACTTTATTCTAGCAATAGAGAGAGAGTCATTTGTGGATCAAGTACGAGAAATTATTGAAAAAGCTGATGAAATGCTCAGTGAGGATGTCAGTGTGGAACCAGAGGGTGACCAGGGGTTGGAGAGTCTACAGGGAAAGGATGACTATGGCTTTTCAGGTTCTCAGGTAGGTTCACCACTCCCATAGTGAAACTTTGTTGATTTAAAATATTTTCATAGTTCTAAATTTGCTATACAAAATGTCCAGTGATATCACCTGACACCTATGACCAACAACAAACTTATGTTCTCTTCGCACGTGGCAGTTTGCTTTGCCTAGTCATTGAGATTGCATTTGAGAATGTATTTAATCACTTTTGTTTGTTCTAGAAATTGGAAGGAGAGTTCAAACAACCAATTCCTGTGTCTTCCATGCCACAGCAAATAGGTGAATTTATTTTCTTTCCTTGTTTTTACCTTTGACTTAAGAAGCCATTAGCTGGAAATGGTGGCGGGCATCTGTAGTCCTAGCTACTCGGGAGGCTGAGGCCTGAGAATCACTTGAACCCAGGAGGCGGAGGTTGCAGTGAGCTGAGATCGCGCCACTGCACTCCAGCCTGGGTGACAGAGTGAGACTGTGTGTCAAAAAAAAAAAAAAAAAGCAATTGTGTTTGCCAATAATGAAGTCTAACAATACTTATAATAATAAGTTGCGTGTGTTTGTTGGTTTTTGACCAGGCATTCCTACCAGTTCTTTAACTCAAGTTGTTCATTCTGCTGGAAGACGGTTTATAGTGAGTCCTGTGCCAGAAAGTCGATTACGAGAATCAAAACTTTTCACCAGTGAAATAACAGATACAGGTAAGGGATTGATTCTGCCACATTGTTATGTAAATTCTACAGTGCCTCTGCTATGTTGAAAGCTTAATCATAAAGCAGTAATTTATGATGACACAGATAATAAAAAATTATAGAAAACTGAAGTTATAACCAACAGATAAACATATGAGAGAGGGAAATAGATGTAGAATAGAGAGGATTACAGAAAAAGCCAAGAAGCACAGCCATACCTAGATATAGCCTGTATAATAGATATTGTAGTATGTGTTTATTTCTGCACTTAGTACTATTGTCTGTGTTTTAAGATTACTCCTTATTTTTTTATCAAAAACGTATTTATAGGAGCTGACTTAGGCTAGCGGACAATCTTTTGAATCCATCCTTTTAAAATGGGCTGATTCTTATTTTTTTGTATTCCTTTGCAGTTGCTGCCTCTACATCTCAGAGCCCTGGAATGAACTTGTCTCACTCTGCATCATCCCTTAGTCTACAACAGGCCTTTTCTGAACTTAGACATGCCCAAATGACAGAAGGACCCAATACAGCACCTCCAAACTTTAGTCATACAGCACCAACATTTCCAGTAGTACCTCCTTTCTTAAGTAGCGTTGCTGGAGTCCCAACCACAGCAGCAGCCACAGTGCCAGTCCCTGCCACAAGCAGCCCTCCTAATGGCATGTCCACATCAGTAATTCAGTCTGAGGTTACGGTGCCCACTGAAGAGGGGATTGCTGGAGTTGCCACCAGCACGGGTGTGGCAACTTCAGGTGGTCTCCACATACCACCTGTGTCTGAATCACCAGTACTTTCCAGTGTAGTTTCAAGTACCACAATACCTGCAGTTGTCTCAATATCTACTACTTCCCCATCACTTCAAGTCCCCACATCCACATCGGAGAACATTGTTTCTAGTACAGCACTGTATCCTTCAGTAACAGTTTCAGCAACTTCAGCTTCCGCAGGGGGCAGCACTGTGACCCCAGGTCCTAAGCCTCCAGCCGTCATGTCTCCGCAGGCAGCAGGCAGCACTACTGTGGGAGTCACATTAACATCAGTTTCCGCCACCACTTCACTGCCAAGCACAGCTTCACAGCTGTCCATTCAGCTTAGCAGCAGTACTTCTGCTCCTACTTTAGCTGAGACCGTTGTAGTTAGTGCACACTCACTAGATAAGACATCTCACAGCATTACAACTGGATTGGCTTTGTCCTTCTCTGCACCATCTTCCGCTTCCTCTCCTGGAGCGGGAGTGTCTAGTTCTATTTCTCAGCCTGGTGGGCTGCATCCTTTGGTCATTCCATCAGTGATAGCTTCTACTCCCATTCTTCCCCAAGCAGCAGGACCTACTTCTACACCTTTATTACCCCAAGTACCTAGTATCCCACCCTTGGTACAGCCTGTTGCCAATGTGCCTGCTGTACAGCAGACACTAATTCATAGTCAGCCTCAACCAGCTTTGCTTCCCAACCAGCCCCATACTCATTGTCCTGAAATAGATTCTGATACACAACCCAAAGCTCCTGGGATCGATGACATAAAGACTCTAGAAGAAAAGCTGCGGTCTCTCTTCAGTGAACACAGCTCATCTGGAGCTCAGCATGCCCCTGTGTCACTGGAGACCTCACTAGTTGTAGAGAGCACTGTCACACCAGGCGTCCCAACTACTGCTGTTGCACCAAGCAAACTCCTGACTTCTACCACAAGTACTTGCTTACCACCAACCAATTTGCCACTAGGAACAGTTGCTTTGCCAGTTACACCAGTGGTCACACCTGGGCAAGTTTCTACCCCAGTCAGCACTGCTACATCAGGAGTGAAACCTGGAACTGCTCCCTCAAAACCACCTTTAACTAAGCCTCCGGTAAAATTATTGGGATAAAATAATTAGATAAATATGATCAGTTTTTTTTCTCCCTATTAAGTACATTTTTCAATTTAGCCTTGCAAGTTAGAAACATAAAGTTACCTGGCTATAGTATTTATTAAACAAATTGACAGCAGTTTGAGGGTATAGCTACAATGAATATAAGATTTTTTTTCAAGTGTGGCAGGATTTGGGGGTTAATTGTGCTGCAGTTTTCCATGAATGTATAATTATCGGGTAAAATATAAGTATTTCATCTGAATTGGTACAAAGTGAAGAAGTCTGTATCCCAAAAGGGAGCTAAATGTATCTGTCAGCAAAATGTATGCAAATAACAGCAGTTCATAATCTTTGTTTCAGTGAGAATGAAGCAAATTTTTGACTTCGTTGTAGATTCCATAGTTGTACAATCTGGGGGTTATAAAAAATTGGAAGTTAGTAAGGAAATACAGAGGAGGAAGAAATAATCTAATCCTAGGACTGAAGTAACTGGAATTTATTATCTAATTATGCTGTGGTGGATTTCCTCTTGTTCTGCCACCTTCTCCAAATAACAAGGCTGTGTTATATCTACTGTATTGTATGCTTCAGCCTCTTTCTGCATTGCCATTGATGTGAGGTTCTTTTTATAGTAGGATAATGCAGAATCTTCACTCAGATAAAATAGAAATTCTTGATAATACTATTAGATTTCTGATGCCTTTTGTTATCAGGCCTGCCTGTTGGTTATTTCTTAACCAGCTACTGTTTTCTTTTCTCGGAAAATCTTGTTTTACATGGCAAAAGCCTGATACATACTGTACCAAATAAGTAGCTCAAGAATATCTGGATACTGCCACTTATGTACATACAGCCTTTGTTCTGTTCTCCCGAGGGAACGACTTTTTACTGTATTTTACAATTCATTTTATAGGTATATTGTAGTAACCCGTGTAAGAATATCACTGGTCATCACACCTTTTTTTTTTTAAGACAGATACCAGAGTGTAACCTTGGTGATAAACATGTCTTAACTAGATACATTTTATTCTTACATTTGTGCATTCAAATTAGTTGATTTGCTCTTCAGTATGCAGTCTTTAATGTCTCATGGATTTGGATTTCCCTTTGTTGTCTGTAGGTGCTGCCAGTGGGTACTGAACTTCCAGCAGGTGCTCTACCCAGCGAGCAGCTGCCACCTTTTCCAGGACCTTCTCTAACCCAGGTGCCTCAGGACTTGACCAGTTTCTTCCTGCGCCCTACTTTCTTTGACAAAGCTTGCTGAAGTTATCCACTGTGGTCTTGGCTTTTGTCTATTTGGCTTTGATTTAGTAACACTTTTCTTTTAAAACGTTATAACCAATGACCCAGGTCCTACTTAAAGTGAGAAGCTTCATAGCTCTTCTGTTTGTCATGTTTCCGGTTATCTGAAAACACTTGATACTAATTTTTTTTGTATCTTATGAAGGAAGAAAACAGCAAAGCCAACATTTTGCCAGACCTATATAGCTCCCTTTGTCATTCATACTTCTGTAGAATAGCGAAATTGCATATAAAATCAAAATTAACTTTGAGAGTGCCTTAGAAAGAAGCAGCACAGTGGCAACTGATAAACTTCTTCTGTGAGTCCAGAGCAACCAGTTTTTTCTTGAATGTTTATCATTTCTTTCACTAGCCACCTAATGAAGTAATTAGCTTACATATAGGTAGGTATAGGAGTGATATTTCATGGAAACTGTGTGTGCTGTATCTTTTAAAATAAAAGCCACCCAGCTCACTGAGGTGCTAACATGAGATTACTCATGGAGGAACTGGGACCAGCCACATGAACTTGAGATTCCCATCTCACAGTCAGTTCTGCTCACTGAATGCAGTGGTGGACAGAATTACGTGTAATATTTATTATTTCCCTTTCTCACCCCAGCCTACCACCAACACATTTAGTTGAATTTCCATAAGAAAAGTACTAATTGTGAATCTGTTGTGACCAGGAAAAAGCTTCTGACATGAGACAAGCCAGTAAACTTTTAAACTAAATTAGGAACTTATTTTTGAATCATATATAAGAAATAAGAAAAACGTGGTAAACTGCTTACTTGAGAGGCTGAGTTGGAATTTATCCCTATTTCTTTGGTCCCAATATACAGGGGAACACTATTTAAGGAACTTGCCACAATAAAGTAAAAACTCCAACAGAGAAAGCACTCCATCAGCCACCAGATTTGGGGGAAAGTGCATTGTGAAAGTCCATAAATCAGGAGTTTAGTTTTAAACTTATTTTCTCATTTAAAAACATGTATTCAGATTTCTAAGGGAGCATAAAGTGTGATGAGAAATAGCAAGTGAGACATGTGGAGGGGTCCTAGATACAGGGAAAGGCATCAGTGAAGGCTGTGCAAGAATAGATTGATAGAAGCCAAGACAGATGGAGGATTAGACTGTGGAAGGGTAGAAGGAAGCTGTGTGCTTGGGGTGGACGGAATGGTTAACAGGATGGAATACCCAGATCTCCTTTCCACCATCTGTAGGGAAGAAGTATACACGTAAGACCTGAAGAAGAGAATAATATCCTGTGATAGTGACAGAATATGTTAATGCCATCTTTTATTCATAGGGACAGCTTCCCAGAAAGATGTATAAAACTGAGAAAGAAAAGAGGGAATATGAGATACAGTGACTCTACCAGTAGATCTTCGTACATTTTTCACAATATATTTTAAAGATCGCACAAATAAACAACTCTTTCTACCATTTTGAGTAACATCAAACATAGAATGTAATAAGACTTCTCTTAAACTGCAAAAACATGAACTACTCTAAGCCTTGAGAGTCTGACATACGATCTTGAGAAACCATCAAAATAAAGCAGTGGACTAAATTTGAGTATAGTTTTATATGTTCTGTAAAGACACATGTTATGTTGTGCCAATATGAAGCATAAAACAGTGTGTCCTATCTAAATTGGCTCTATATCGTGACTCTGAAGGTGCCAAGGAAGTGTATTTACTCTGATTGTTTTCATTCAGTCCCAGCAACCTCTAGAGGATCTTGATGCTCAATTGAGAAGAACACTTAGTCCAGAGATTATCACAGTGACTTCTGCAGTTGGTGTAAGTTTTGAAAATCTTGATAAAATCTCCTCATAACCTTAATATATTCTATGCCTGGGACACAAACTGTAACCTAAACCATTATTAATATGTTTAACATGTATTCAGAGTCCCTGCTTATTCTAGCCAAAAGAAATGAGACTGGTTAATGAAAGATTAATGCTGACTCAGGAGTATCACTGTGGAAAAGATTGTATTTGAAAGGTGCTTTTCTAGTTGTACGTCTGGTTAGATTGTGCCACAGATCAATTCTGTGGATTTTGTATTTTTGTTTTAGAGGAGGCTAAATTTTGTCAGATTAAAATAATGTTTTGGGCCAGGCACAGTGGCTCACGCCTGTAATCCCAGCACTTTGGGAGGCCGAGGCGGGCGGATCACGAGGTCAGGAGATCGAGACTATCCTGGCTAACACGGTGAAACCCCATCTCTACTAAAAATACAACAAATTAGCCAGATGTGGTGGTGCACACCTGTAGTCCCAGCTACTCAGGAGGCTGCGGCAGGAGAATAGCGTAAAACCCAGGAGGCGAACTTGCAGTGAGCCGAGATCGCACCACTGCACTCCAGCCTGGGCGACAGAGACTCCATCTCAAAAATAATAATAATAATAATAATAATGTTTTGATTGAAACTGTTTTTCTGTGACTATCCAAGTTATACCCTTAAGCATCCTGTGAGAAAATGAAGAAAGCAATCAAGAATTAAGAGTAGAAATTCCTTATTTTAAAATGTGTCTTCTGTTTTTTTTTTTTTTTGGAGACAGAGTCTTGCACCATTGCCCAGGCTATAGTGCGCGATCTCAGCTCACTGCAACCACCGCCTCCCAGGTTCAAGTGATTCTTCTACCTTAGCCTTCCGTGTAGCTGGGATTACAGGTGCCCACCACCACACCCGGCTAATTTTTGTATTTTTATTAGAGACGGGATTTCTCCATATTGGCCAGGCTGGTCTCGAACTCCTGACCTCAAATGATCTGCCCACGTTGGCCTCCTGAAATGCTGGGATTACAGGTGTGAGCCACCATGCCTGGCCCTGACAGGTGCCTTTCTTTACATCAGACTTTTAGACTTTAAAAGAAAAAGGAAAGAAAAGAAAATGTTCTCAGACATAAGTGTTTCATCACATATACTTTCTTTCTGCCCTTTTACAAAGACCATAGGAAAGGCAACAAGGCCAAAGTCTGAGTGACTGAAGCTAAAGATTTGTGGTGTCTGTCTGTGTATGTTTTGCAGCCTGTGTCCGTGGTGGCTCCAACAGCAGTTACAGAAGCAGGAGCACAGCCTCAGAAGGATGGTGAGAAACATCCTTCTTCTTTTTATATTACTAATTCCAGTCCTACCTGCAGTTGATTCAGGAGGTTTACTGTTGCAAAGACACATTTCCATGTATTTGATAACTGAGGAGCATTGGTAGTAATATCTGAAGCTTGAAAATTAATAAATCTGTTCTGTTGTTATTTGGCAGAGGGAAGGTTATACAGGAGGTAATGATAAGACCCTTCATTATTAGCTAGGCCAGATCCTTGCTATTAGAGATTAGGAAATTAAAGCATACTGTATTTAGAAAAGTTAATTTACTGATAACCTCTTAGCTTTTGTGACACTGGATATATAGGGATAGAAGCTTGAATAGTCTGGACATATATTTGTATGGAAATACAAATGTAAGATTTCAGTTAGTCAATTTAAATATTTTTATCTTCAAGGCAGTTACATTCTCAGTTGGCTCTCATTTTAAAAGAAGTCATGTGCAAATCATTAGAACAGTCTAGAAATGATAATGTAGATTATCAAATATATACAATGAAAATAATAAATTAAAAGTTTGCTACCAATAAAAAGAGAATGTAGAATATGAAAAAGGTAGCTTTTCATATCATTGAAAGATGGAATTTTTTTTTTTTTTTGAGTTGGAGTTTTGCTCTTGTTGCCCAGGCTGGAGTCCAGTGGCATGATCACAGCTCACTGCAACCTCCACCTCCCATGTTCAAGCGATTTTCTTGCCTCAGTCTCCCAAGTATCTGGGATTATAGGCATGCATCACCACACCTCGTTAATTTTGTATTTTTAGTAGAGACAGGGTTTCTCCATGTTGGTCAGGCTGGTCACCAGCCTCAGGTGATCCACCCGCCTTGGCCTCCCAAAGTGCTGGGATTATAGGCGTGAGCCACCACGCCTGGCTGAAAGATGGAATATTTTTATAAGTGGTTTAGAACAACTCGAAAGCCATCTTGAAAAAAGCAAAGGTGGATCACTAGTCTCGACATAAGTAAAGTCCAAGTGGACCAAAGATGAAATATTGTATCATAAAATAGTATTATATGAAATCATAAGGGGATTTTTTTCAACTGCCTAGAACAGGGTTGACAAACTTTTTTTCTGCAAAGGGCAAGACAGTACAAATTTTAGGCTTTCTAGACCATATAGTCTCTTGCAACTTACTCACATCTCAAAAGTAGCAGCGGACAATACATAAATAAATAAGTTTGTGCTTCAATAAAATTTATCTACAAAAACAGGCAGTAGGCTGAATTTGGTCTGTGGATCAGTTTGGAGTTCTCAGATACGTTTAATAGAGGTGTTAAGTTCAATGTCTAATCCAGAAGCAAGTAGTAATAGATATAAAATTTTCTTCATGGAAGAAAAGTGCCATTGATTGCAAAGACAAATGAAAACCTGGGGAAATATATATATTTGTGGGAGGGAGAGGGATGTGTGTAGTCATATCACAAAAAGAATTCGTTTTGCTAATATAGAGTTCCTAAAATTCAACATGAACCAAAAAACAATCAGAAGATACAGAAAAGGAAACTTAGACGTGAAAGTATTTAACATCCGTAATGATAGAAATACAAAGTAAGGCTACAGCTGATAGCAGTTCCCACCTCTCATTGGTAAATTCAGGGGTTTAATAGCCACAAGTGACTTGGTACAGCCTCTGTGGGGATCAATTTATAATAGTGATGTCTACTGCAGTCTTAAATGGAAATAATTCAGCACTTTCATTACGGTGTATTTATTGTACAGATCTATAAGAAAATATTTATTTTTAAAATAGCAAGAAATTCTGGGCCGAGCATAGTGGCTCACGCCTGTAATCCCAGCACTTTGGGAGGCCAAAGCAGGTGGATTGCTTGAGCTCAGGATTTTGAGACCAGCTTGGGCAACGTAGTGATTGCAGAGATTGGGCAACACTGTCCCATCTCTGCAAGAAATTTTTAAAATTAGCTGGATGTGGTGCTACGCACCTGTTGTTCTAGCTTCCCAGGAGGCTGAGGAGGAAGGATCACCTGAGCCTGGGAGGTCGAGACTGTGGTGAGCTGTGATGGCGTCACTGTACTCTAGCCTGGGGGACAGAGTGAGACCCTGTCTCAGGGAAAAAAGAAAAGAAATTCTGAATAATTTAAATGCCCATCAGTAGAAGCCTGATTAAATGTGAAATATATATATATGATATATACATAGGGTATGACACTATGCAATCATTAAGAAGAATGAGGCATTGATATGGAATGATCTCAAAGATGTAGAATTACATGAAAACATCAAAATTGCTCAATGTTCTTCTAGCTATATAAAATAAATATATATCTAGAAAGAAACTGAAAGCATTGTTCCCCGGAAAGGTTTTAAAATTGCCCCAAACTACTTATCAATAATTCTGAGGGCCGGGTGCAGTGGCTCACGCCTGTAATCCCAGCACTTTGGGAGGCTGAGGTGGGCGGATCATGAGGTCAGGAGATCGAGACCATCCTGGCTAACATGGTGAAACCCCATCTCTACTAAAAATACAAAAAAATTAGCCAGGCGTGGCAGTGGGCGCCTGTAGTCCCAGCTACTGGGAGGCTGAGGCAGGAGAATGGCATGAACCCAGGAGGTGCAGCAGCGTACAGTGAGCTGAGATCGCACCACTGCACACCAGCCTGGGTGAAAGAGCAAGACTCCGTCTCAAATAATAATAATAATTCTGAGAACTGTACTATCCTATTCTAGAATTTGCCTATGTTACATTGAGAAAATAAAATTAGCTGGTTTTCATTTAAAAATGGGTCTTGGCTGGACATGGTGAGTCACACCTATAATCCCAGCACTTTGGGAGACTGAGGCAGGCATATTACCTGAGGTCAGGAGTTCGAGACCAGCCTGGGCAACATGGTGTAACTCCATCTCTACTAAAAATACAAAAATTAGCCGGGTGTGGTGGTGCACACCTGTAATCCCAGCTACTCGGGAGGCTGAGGCAGGAGGATCACTTGAACCCAGTAGGTGGAGGTTGCAGTGAGCTGAGATCGCACCACTCTACTCCAGCCTGGGCAACAGAGCGAAACTCCATCTCGATAAAATAAAATAAAGATGGGTCCTTAACGTCCTCAGTAACATCTCATCCTTCATTTCACTTACATCTCTGAATTAAAGAATGAGTAGTGAGTTTTTAATGCCTGTTAACCTTTGTTTTTATAGTATATATTAATGTTATAGTTGGTATCTAGTAGTAGAGCAAACAATAACTATTTTCCCCTGTTGGACAAAGCCTCATGGAGGGGAGGAGATAAGGAAGTTCTCTTTGCCTCTAACAGCTTTCCTCGTGTGTAGTTTGGTTTTGCTGTATTTCTAGCTAAAGGGAAAATAAATTAACTGGAAAGAGACACTTATATTTTCCTCATCCATGTATGTGTTTCAGTTTCTCAAGTCACAGAAAAAGGCCCTGTCCTAGCAACTAGTTCAGGAGCTGGTGTTTTTAAGATGGGACGATTTCAGGTAAGACAGTCACTTTGCGTTGCCTTGATTCCTTCCTTTGGAGGAGTTGTCTATATAATAAAATTACTGCCTACCTATTTGGGACATAATTTGGGACATAATTGCCAGTCTAGTGATTTCTATTACATAGTACTTTATAGCTCTTTTTAGCATTTTCCTAATAAAAGTAATATATACTAAAGAAAATATAGATTACTTAGAACAGTAAAAACACGGTAGATAGTCGTACTATCTATCCGCCCACCTCCCAAGATTACTTTTTGGGGTGTATTTCCTTCCACTCCTTGTACAAGTGTGTATTTAAAATTGAGTACCATTTCTCCTGTTCCAAATGTTACAGCTTTTTTCCCGATTCAGTAATTGGTTTACCTAACCAGTCTCCATCATCATCTCTAATTTTTCCAACATAATAAGTTAAGTAACAGCAAACATCTCTGTGTATAAAAATGTTTTCCACATTTAAAATAACTGTCATAAGATTAATTCTTTAAATTAAAACACATGATACCATATCACTTTATTTTACTAACTGTCCAACATGTGAGCATTTTCTGGCTGGGAAGAGTAAGTGATATTTTTCTCATTTGTGAACAGGTCCTGAGCGTTTATAGGTGGGCTGAGTTTGTATCTATAAATACATGGACAAACCAGAGCAAGGATCTGGTTCCTCTTTTTTAGTCACCAGTTAGTTGTGTTGATTCTTAAGGATTAACAGGCATTTAACATTTACCTTGTAGTTTTTCTTATTCACAGGCAACCCTAAAAATTCTACATCTTATTCATTTATTTTATTTCTTTATTTCTTTATTTCTTTATTTTCTTTTTTGAGATGGCGTCTCACTCTGTCACCCAGGCCACTGCAGCCTCCGCCTCCCGGGTTTAAGTGATTCTCCTGCCTCAGCCTCCCAAGTAACTGGGATTACAGGCACACGTTACCATGCCTGGCTAATTTTTGTATTTTTAGTAGAGACGGGGTTTCACCACGTTGGCCAGGCTGGTCTGAAACTCCTGACCTCAAGTGATCCGCCTGCCTCAGCCTCCCAAAGTGTTGAGATTACAGGCGTGAGCCACTATGCCTGGCCCTGACCTTTTGTTATTTATATGTTGACTAAGACATAAATCTGAATTCTGTGTATGACATCGAATACGAAAGTAAATTATTTACTTTGTAAGCGTAGCCACACGGAATCTGCATCTCTGTACACATGTGTTCTCTGTGATGGTATTCAATTTTTCTTCATAGTCAAAGATGGAGGCACTATGTAAAGAGATAATCAGCCTACTCGTTGACAGGGAAATAAAGTGACTTTATTTTTCCTTTTTTAAATTGTCTGTGATAGAAATTGGATATTGAGAACTTCAGTTTTTAATCTTTGTTCTTTTTTTCATCAGGTTTCAGTTGCAGCAGATGATACCCAGAAAGAGGGTAAAAGTAAGTCAGAAGATGCAAAGTCTGTTCATTTTGAATCCAGCACTTCAGAGTCCTCGGTGTTGTCGAGTAGTAGTCCAGAGAGTACCTTGGTGAAACCAGAGCCGAATGGGATAAGCATCCCTGGTATCTCTTCAGATGTGCCAGAGAGTGCCCACAAAACTACTGCCTCAGAGGCAAAGTCAGACACTGGGCAGCCTACCAAGGTTGGACGTTTTCAGGTGACAACTACAGCAAACAAAGTGGGTCGTTTCTCTGTATCGAAAACTGAGGACAAAATCACTGACACAAAGAAAGAAGGACCAGTGGCATCTCCTCCTTTTATGGATTTGGAACAAGCTGTTCTTCCTGCTGTGATACCAAAGAAAGAAAAGCCTGAACTGTCAGAGCCTTCACATCTAAATGGGCCATCTTCTGACCTGGAGGCCGCCTTTTTAAGTAGGGATGTGGATGATGGTTCAGGTAGTCCACACTCCCCTCATCAACTGAGCTCAAAGAGCCTTCCTATCCAGAATCTAAGTCAAAGCCTTAGTAATTCATTTAACTCCTCTTACATGAGTAGTGACAATGAGTCAGATATCGAAGATGAAGACTTAAAGTTAGAGCTGCGACGACTACGAGATAAGTAAGTATATTTTTTTCTTGTGAAAGAATGTCAGATAAGGTTTTAAGTCCTAGATCCTAGAGCCAAGATTAATAATGTTTTTGCCACAATATGCTAATGCCTCATTTCTTTTTTTAAAGAGACAGTGCCACAGAAGCCACCACACACACACACACACACACACACACACACACACATGATTCCCAACCTCTGACTCAGAGGCATAGGCAGCTTCTCTTGTACTTACACAATACAGACCCATAGCATTTCTAGTTCTAGAACTTCTTCATTGTTAATATATTATTACTGTGTTATTGTTACTGTATTGTTATTGTATTATTATTTGTATTAATAGCATATTTTATCACTGTTAACTGCTCTTTATTAGTTCACTAAATGAATCTGGTAATGGCACTTGGATGTATGATTATGTTGGCAGGTTTTGTTTGGCAAATTGGATCAGAGTAGCAAATTCAGCTATTGTGTGCATGGCCTCAAAAGTCAGGAAGTGTTTTCCTCCTAATACATTATCAACCATTTGTTGTTGGCTAGGAGCTTGTAATATGGCCTGGGTAATGCAGGCCAGCAAGGTGAGTTGACAAACTATAATCTCATGGTAGTACATTTAGGGAAAAGGTTCATTAGTAACTAGTACATACTTGAAAGCAGGTTTAGGAATATGCTGTTAATTCTTGTTTGAATGAAGAGGATTATGGTATTTTGAATTATGTTTGGTTATCTTTCATAGACATCTTAAAGAGATTCAGGACCTGCAGAGTCGCCAGAAGCATGAAATTGAATCTTTGTATACCAAACTGGGCAAGGTGCCCCCTGCTGTTATTATTCCCCCAGCTGCTCCCCTTTCAGGGAGAAGACGACGACCCACTAAAAGCAAAGGCAGCAAATCTAGTCGAAGCAGTTCCTTGGGGAATAAAAGCCCCCAGCTTTCAGGTAAAAAGCCATGGACTAGGTCAGCCACAGCTGTCCTAATCTTTTGTTTCTGTCTCCATCTGTATGTGACCTGCTGAACGTTTGTTATTTTTGTTAAATTTCAAAGGAATTTGGCTCTCCTGATATTTTTGCTTCCTTGACTGCTGTACTTACATTTATTGTACCTCTTTTTGAGCTTATACAAGTAGACTTAGTGAATACAATGGCTTATTCCATTATAATCCATATTGCTATCTACTGGTAATCTTTATTTATGGTTATTCTTAAGGATAGACATTTAGCTTTGCCTGTTAACTCATATAACTCACATTTAACCAAACTCTTGGGCAGTTGGAAGAAAATACATTATTCTCTGTTCAGTAAAACTTGGGTGGATTCTTTCTTTTAATGGATGACTTAGTCATAATTGTAACTTAGATGAATGTAATTGTCATATAGATATTTGTGTGTATGTCTAATTGGTAACTTCTTGATTAAGGTTTTTATTTCATTTATATTGGGTTAAAGAACTTGCTGGTCATTGGTCAGGCACGGTGGCTCACGCCTGGAATCCCAGAACTTTGGGAGGCCGAGGCGGGTGGATCATGAGGTCAGGAGATTGAGACCATCCTGACTAACACGGTGAAACCCCATCTCTACTAAAAATACAAAAAATTAGCTGGGGGTGGTGGCGGGCGCCTGTAGTCCCAGCTAGTCGGGAGGCTGAGGCAGGAGAATGGTGTAAACCCGGGAGGCGGAGCTTGCAGTGAGCCGAGATCACGCCACTGCACTCCAGCCTGGGAGACAGAGCGAGACTCTGTCTCAAAAAAAAAAAAAAAGAACTTGCTAGTCATTAAAATCAAAGAAATAGTTAAGTCATACTCTTTTGTAATAGAATATATACATATTCCATTATATAATTATCCATTATATATATTTTATATATATATATAGAGAGAGAGAAATGGAATTTATTTATTTATTTATTTTAAGAGACAGGGCCTCACTCTGTTGCCGACTAGAGTGTAGTAGTGTGATCATAGCACACAACACAACAGCCTCAAACTGCTAGGCCCAGGTGGTCCTCCTACCTTAGCTTCCTGAGTAGCTGGGATTACAGGCACATACTACCATGCCCCGCTAACTTTGAATTATTTTTTGAGACAGAGTCCCACTCTGTTGCCCAGGCTGGAGTGCAGTGGCACGATCTTGGCTCACTGCATTCTCTGCCTCCCAGTTTCAAGTGATCCTCCTGCCTCAGCCTCCCTAGTAGCTGGGATTACAGGCACATATCACCATGCCTGGCTAATTTTTGTATTTTTGTATTTTTAGTAGAGATGGGTTTCCCACGTTGACCAGGCTGGTCTCGAACTCCTGACTCAGGTGATCGACCCGTCTTGGCCTCCCAAAGTGCTGGGATTACAGGCGTGAGCCATCGTGCCCGGCCCTGGACTGTATTTTAATTGGGATAGAGAGTTTCTAATCCTTTGGTGAAATTATGGTAGTGTTAACACAATTAGTTGAAAAGTAAAAGAAGGTTAAAATACATTAAAAAGCAGTTGCAAACTTCTTAGCAGTTCCATTCTCTGGAAGGGTTCACAGATATCCAAATCTAGCACATTAGGACCAGGTCATGCAGTCCATTAGTAGAGATGTGATTGTAAGAGAAATCAGCTAATTTCTGATCTGATCCAAATCAGATCTTTTTTTTGTTTTTGAGACAGAGTCGGCAGTGGGGCAACCTCCAACTCCCGGGTTCAAGCAATTCTCGTTCCTCAGCCTCCCAAGTAGTTGGGATTATAGGCGTGTACCACCACACCTGGCTAATTTTTGTATTTTTAGTAGAGATCGGGTTGCACTATGTTGGCCAGGCTGGTCTCAAACTTCTGGCCTCAAGTGATCCGGCCACCTCAGCCTCCCAAAGTGCGGATTATAGGCATGAGCCACTATGCCCAGCCTACCTATTGATTCTTAGTGTCACTCCTCACTTCTCCCGTTAGTGAGGACTTTGTTCTTCTCATCATAGCTTTTGACCCACCATCCATCACTCAGTGGAACAAACCAAATGTGTAAGAACAGTGCCTAATGAGTACATGTTTCCTCATGCCACTTTATCTTTTGGCAGGTAACCTGTCTGGTCAGAGTGCAGCTTCAGTCTTGCACCCCCAGCAGACCCTCCACCCTCCTGGCAACATCCCAGAGTCCGGGCAGAACCAGCTGTTACAGCCCCTTAAGCCATCTCCCTCCAGTGACAACCTCTATTCAGCCTTCACCAGTGATGGTGCCATTTCAGTACCAAGCCTTTCTGCTCCAGGTCAAGGTAACAAAGCCACCGTCATCGCCAAAAACAATAAAATGGAGATGTTGCCATACCTGGGACAACAGCCTGTTAAGGCGGATTGGGAGACTAGCTGACCGGAACACAGCCTGTGTGTTGTACACTTAAGAATCTTTGGGTGAAAGGGAAGTGGAGTGACAATGAGACTCAGTGGGCTCATTGCTCCCATTAGGTGAAATTACTTTTTTTCAAGGAGTTACAGTGAAAAGTTAACATCTGTGTGACCTGTATGACTCGCTCATGTGGGATTTGGAACTTAACGCTTTAATATTAGGCTGAGATTTCCTGGATGAAATTCTAAGGTGTTTTAGCAGTTTCTGAAAGCTAATGCATTTTCTTAGCCATTGTAGAATTTTGTTACTTTTAAGTATGGGAGTGGCATACTAAAATGAATAACCATACAATTCAGTTTTTTATCCATAATCTACTTTCCAAATATAGCTCTGTTTATTAATGGTTGCTGAAAAAATTCCTGCAGAGGAAAGAGCTTCTAGCCATATTAGAACAAGAATTGAAAAGACTTGGGCATCTGGGTGAGAAGAATAAAAAATATATAGGTACTGGCTTATGTGCCTTTGCCACAGTTTCACAGAAATTAGAGATTAGTCTCTTCACAGGAAGAGTGCACTCGATTGGCAAGGAGGGCAAACTAGCTAGCATTATTTCAACTAAGAAAAGCTTCCGCATTTTGCAGATGGGTAGAATTAAGACCTAATATTTCATCTCTTACATATCTGACCTTCCCCCAGAAGCTTGTTCTTCTGTGTGCCATCTTAGTGCATTTCACCACTCCAGCCTCAAGTTTCTAACATCTTGTAGTTGTGTTCTGTCTCTTCTCCTCTCTCTGTTCTTCCCTGTTTTTCCCCTCTCACAGGCTGTGCGAAGTTTAACTGTGCATCTGAACAGGTGACATTCAAACCTGGTGGCAGGAGGACCCGATTTCTGAGTACGCCCTGCTTGGCTCTTTGTGTGTAACACCTTTACTCCTTCCTTGTCCTTGTTTTTCTGCTGCTTGGATCTGATGTTTCACGCAGTCCATTTTCATTTGTCTCTTTTTGTATATCATCTACTCAGTGGCTTGGCTGAATTACTGTTACCCTCAGAAGTTTGGGCCCCCACATTATGATAAAAAAAAAAAAAAGTCAAAATGACAAGTTTCTACAAATTTCAATGTAACTTTCTGGTAGAAGTGCTTCTTCATAGATCTGTGACAGAGAGTAGATGTGGTATCTAGGCAGTAGATTGCTGGGTCACTTAGAATAATGAAGACTGAACTCCACAGTCATAGTCAGTGCTCTCTCTCTGCCCTAGCATTACAAATGACAGAAATCAGCCAGACACGGTGGCTTACACTTATAATCTCAGCCCTTTGGGAGGCTGAGGCGGGAAGATTGCTTGAGGCCAGGAGCTCGAGACCAACCTGGGCTCTTAAAAAAAAAAAAAAGCCTGGCGTGGTGGTGTGCATCTATAGTCCCAGCTACCCAGGAGGCTGAGGCGGGAGGATTACCACCTTGAGACCAGGAGGTTGAGACTGCAGTGAGCCATGATTGTGCCACTGCACCCCAGGCTGAGTGACAGAGCCAGACTCTATCTCAAAGAAAAGAAACGAAATGACAGAAAGCATTTTGACCAATGATGCTCTTAGATCTTGGCAGCAGGTAAAAATTATGTACCATGTTTTTCCATTCTTTGTCAGAGTAGATTGAAATCTTTTTTTTCTTCTCAATTAAGCCTAAGCATCTACTAGTTGAAAAGGTGCTAGAATCTCTTGATTGGATCATTCCACCACTACTGTCCTCTAACCCCATAAAATCAAAAAAAAGGGGTTTTTAGTTTGGTTATTCCGATAAAGCACTTAGTCTGATAAAGACCAAAGCCCAGCAACTGCAAGTGAAAATTATCCTTTTAACAGGATTTCTGGGATTTCCCAGCTTTCTACTTAAAAACAAGGCACAACAGCAGGTCACCCCATCTTTCCCATATGTGAAATGATGATGCCAGTGTCCTAGGGCCATCGTACAAATCAAGTTAAGATCATATACAGAGAAACAGGTAGCACTTGAAAAGCACTTGTGATTTCTTTCTGATTAGTCAGTGCCTACCTGGCACATAATAGATAGTCAATAACTGTTCGTTGAAGAAAAGTTTAAAAAAAAAACATGGTTCAAGTAGAAAAACCTTGTTATAATTTGGATAAAGATCTTCTCTGTTCAGGCCTCAAACTTCTGATGTGATTATTGAAGTGCTTTTTAAATGCATGTGCTCAGGCCATCACTGATTCTGAGTATGAGTCAGAGGTCCTCGGGCCTCTTCATGGTGGGAAGAATTTATACCTCCCTTTGTTCTCTGTAGTGACCACATTCAAAGCAAAGTACATAACACATTTAACTTCCATTTCCCTCACACAGTTGTAATCCTTCTAGCACCCCTATTCTTTTTACCTGCATTAGTAATGGATTGCAGGTAAAAAGACCGCCTTTTTACTTTTACTGACTTCCCCCACATTCACTAGTCCCAGGCTATTTAACAAAGAAATGGGTGGAAGGCATTACCCAATTCAATAGTTTTCCAGGCATGTGTGGTTTTTCTTTTTTTTTTTTTTTTTTTTTTTTGAGGACTCAGATCAATAATTCTTCTGGTCACACTTTCCTGGACTGTGCATATTAGCACTTTGACAGTTGAATAAGCATTTAATTTGCTTGTCCACCTAGAAAGTTGCAAGGACGTTAACAGTAGGAGCTGAGTATTTTTAAAGTAGAATGTGACATGTCAGGCCTATGGTCTACAGCCTGAAGTGCCTGAGAGGGAAGAAAGAGAACCAAAGCTTCTGTTTCTGAAATATAATGTGACAAATACCACTTTAATTAAATTCCATAAATTCTCATCCCACTTTTAAAGGTAGGTGGTATTACCCTTGTTGTTCAAATGAAACTGGTCAGAAATATTGGATCTTGTCACTTCCCTTTGGGTGTAAAATGAAAGGCCCTACATCTTTTGAAGTCACGTCAGGATACATCATGTAAGCCTGGTGAACAAATCCCAAGAGACAGACTTGAACTATGGAAATGAAACAGGTACTTGAAAGAGTAGGGACTTTACTAGCTTGAGTTGTATTATTCTATGCTCTCAAAATAGATAATGGTTTGGAAGCACGGCTTGGCTTACTGCTATATTTATGTTCAGAGGTTGCTTGTTTTCCACGTACTTTTAAAAATTATTCTGGAAGGGAAGGGGTTAGTATATATATCTAGGATGTGGAAATATAGCCAATGTAAATGAACTTAAAACTGTAACAGTGATACTATCAGTCTACTATGGTGGGATTGCTAATGCGTTTAATTGAGTGCTTTTTAACAGCCCAGCTGGAGAAACAGGAAGTGGGACAGGATCAGTGGAAACGCTGCTTGGGTATTTGAAATTCAAGCAGTGAGACCTGAGAGACTGGAGTTCCTCTCCGATTCCAGAACCTCAATGCAGGGCATTACTCTTTTAGATACAGAGAGTGGGTGTAGAAACCCAACATCTGTCAGCCAGGTAACACAGCTCATCAGATCATCATGTTAAGGCTAACAGCCAGTTAGAAACATTCTGTAGAACTATATCTATTCAAGGGCTACCAGGTCCTACCTATCTGTCTCCCCTCCTGCTTTCTCTTGCTGGGCGTTTGTGTGCTGTTTGGAGATTCTAAATGTTTTACACTGATGTGTCTTTATCTTTAACACATTGCTTCTCTCTTTGTGCTTCAGGGAAGATGGTGAAAAAAGTCTGTCCTTGCAACCAGCTCTGTAGTAATTATCTTTTCTGTTATTTTTGGTCCTTGATTGCAAAGCCTGTTAACCACGAGTTCTTTCAACTCTGCAGTCTCATAGCTCCCTGATTGCTAACTTCCATCTAGCTCTGTATCCTATTCTAATAGATATTTAACATGCTTAATTGAGAAACCATCTCATAGTTGGTGCCCTCAGTGATAACCCCATGTGAGCCTAGCTTGTGACAGACATGGATTGGTAATGGCCATGGATGTGTACAGGGAGATCAGGGATGCCTACGTTCCTACGGGAGAGCGATCCTTTAGTCAAGCACATATGTGCCGGGCAGTGTTATTCCCCCAACTGGAAACTCAGCAGTGATGAAAGCATGCGAAAATCCATGCCCTCCCATTGTTCACATTGAAGTGGGAGATGTGTGCTAGATGGATGAGGAGAAAAACACCACTTACTAGAGTTTGTCTTCTTAGACCGTGGCTTCTCAGATTTTAATGAGAAGGCCACTTACAGTGTTCTAGGTAGGGTCAACAGGGAAATTCTGTACTTGGGATGCTGGGCTGTAAGTTATGGTTCATAATAGGTTATTGTTACTAGGATCTGGTGATGTGGGAGTAGGGGAAATGTATTATAATGGCAGGAGGAAATTTAAAAATGAATCTTGGGGGTAAGTCTATACTACTTATTAGGGCTTTTCAGAAGAACTACAAAAGGTTAAGAAGTTAGCATATTCTCTCAAAGGCCTTTCTACAGCTTTTATAGTCAAGTCTCCTTAGGAGTTAATTTCTGGTTAGAAAAGGATAGGTTTGTTTCATTCTTTAATGAGAGGACTGTATACAGCAGCCAGAATGTGAAGGTTTCACTGTATGGTTGACTCTTCCTCATGATTTCTCTTTCCTCATGGGAAGAGACTCCTGTGTTAGGTAATGTAGGTTAAAATGAAAAGTGAAATTTGGTTCTAAAAGGGCCTCGCAGCATCAGGGGCAACAGACTAGCATCAGACAGAGAGGTGTGTCTCCCAGCATGAGCTCTGTGTGGATAAGCAATGGTCACGTCTCCTGAGCTGCTTGTATTTAGCTTTTGACAGCCCTGCTCCCCTGTGATTGTTTGTTTTTTGTTTTGATTGTCTCTCACATCAAGCTCACCAGGCAATAGTTGTTCAAACAGGATGACGATCCCCCTGCATGTGATACGCTTGCTTTCTAGATTGAGTCACTCACTGTCATGACTGCCCATCCTCATTGCCTGTGCTTCCCACTTCACCACTCTCTCACATTTGCTGTTCATGGAAGTCTGTTTTCTGTGCTTTAATACTTCTCCACTTGGGTTTCCTGTGCTGTAGGGAACTTACTCTTCCCTTCACGCTGTGTGTGCAATAGCGATCCCCTTGTGGCTCCAGCAAGCACCAGGAAGTGGGCGGACACTCACACCGCAGTAGCTCCACGCCTTGTCATAGTGGTGGGAAGCATGTGACCTTCCTCACTCTGCAGCCTCACCTCGGAATTAGCTGTTACTCCAGCACAGACATGCTTGTGTGTGCCGTTCCCCAGGTGGTAGGATATAAGCTTGACTTGAGACGAGTGATGGTCAGTAACAGGCTTTTAAGTGGCAGGGTTGTGTTAGGTGTGCTGCTGTGACCTGGAAAGCAGGAAAACGCATGCACTGACTCACCCCCAGCGTTACTTGGGTGCCTTTAAGGACTAGTGGTTCACAACTGACTTCAGTAGCTTTTATTTATTCTGTAACGTGAGATCTGGTAAGACAGTGGGGGGTAAGGAAAACAGACAAGACCATGACTCTTCTTTCCCTCTTCCCCAAAACGTGCCTCTTCGAATAATCTTCAGTGTGCCCTCCAGCAGAGCCGAAATCAGGCAGGACATAGACTCCTTCTTCCTTTCTCATCAAACCGTAGAAATAGAATTCCTTCATCATAACCGCAAAGCTTCCTCCTCCCCTTTGCACCCTGCCTCAGCTGCATTTTCTTGTCGCTTCTACATGGGAGTGCTTGCTGTTCTGGGAAGAGTGGGGAGAAGCGGTGGGAATCCTTGAGCCAATTGAAACTGAGGTCATCTTCAGGAAAACCATGTCTTCCTGAAGTTGAAAGATTCAGGCACGCCATATAGTCCTTTCCTCGTGAAGAATCTTGTTCTTTCCTCGTGGGAAGTTGGAAGAGGCTAACCCCTCCCAAGTTTATGTTTGTAAAATCATGTTTATGGGTCCAGGTGAAAAACTCTTCTGAACACAGCATGCTACTTCTGTTATTACCTCTCTCTATTTAAAGAATGGCTAGGCTGAGCATGGTGGCTCACACCTGTAATCCCAGCTCTTTGGGAGGCTGACATGGCAGGATTGCCTGAGCCCAGCAGTTCCTAAGCAACATACGGAGATTCTGTCTGTATAAAAAATTAAAAAATTAACTGGGTGTGGTAGTGCATACGTCTAGTCCCAAGCTACTTGGGAGGCTGAGGCAGGAGGAGCTTGAGACTGCAGTGAGACGTGATTGTGCTGCTGTATCCAGCTTGGGTGACAGAAAAAGAAGAGACCCTTCCTTAAAAAAAAAAAAAAAAAAAAGCCGGGCATGGTGGCTCATGTCTGTAATCCCAGTACTTTGGGAGGCCAAGGCGGGCAGATCACCTGAGGTCAGGAGTTTGAGACCAGTCTGGCCAACATGGCAAAACCTTATCTCTACTAAAATACAAAAATTAGCTGGCCATGGTGGCACACACCTGCAATCCCAGCTACTCTGGAGGCTGAGACAGGAGAATCGCCTGAACCCGGGAGGCAGGGGTTGCAGTTAGCTGAGATCGTACCACTGCACTCCAGCCTGGGTAATAGAGTGAGACTCCATCTGAAAAAAAAAAAGGGGGGGGGGGCTAAAGAATGTGGCAATGTCCACATGGTTTGGAAACCCACCTTCTCCTTAGCCAAGCATCTTTTCCTACTCCTACTTTAACCCTGCCCAGTGCACTCTTTTACCCTGCATTCTGCAAAATTCCAGAGCAACTAGCCTTGCTGATCGTATTACACCTCCATCAGCATCGTGATGTCGGGGATAGCGTACTGGCGAGCAGTTCCAGTTCTCAGGTGCTTTGTGAATGGACTGAAAGAGGCCCCTGCCTGTGTACCTACCGTCATCCTGAGTTGTTCAGCCTTAGCAGCAGCTACTGAAGAGAAACTGTTTTCATCACCCTATTATACCAAAACAAATGGCTAAACAAAACCTTGGAATCTTCCCTTCTTGCATGGCTTCCCAATTCATCCTCTCCCCATTCTGTGGCTTGCCATTCATCATCCCGTGAAGTTTTCCCTCTTCCCGAAATTGTAACCTAGGCTTCTTTTAATGCTTGTATTCTGTTGCTTATAATAGGGACCAGCAGCACAAACACTGTTGGGGCAACAGTGAACAGCCAAGCCGCCCAAGCTCAGCCTCCTGCCATGACGTCCAGCCGGAAGGGCACATTCACAGACGACTTGCACAAGTTGGTAGACAACTGGGCCCGAGATGCCATGATTCTCTCAGGCAGGAGAGGAAGCAAAGGGCACATGAATTATGAGGTAAGTCTCTCTTTTGCCGTGGAGAATCCGTAACACACACCTGAATCGAGGTGATATAAACAACTAGGCTGCTGCTTAACGTCTTACACCATGACCACCTTCAGTAGCTCATGAATTTTAACACTTTAGAAAAACAAGACAAAAATCCTCCAGGTACCCTTTTGTTTTTCCTTCGTCATCCTGAACTACACACACAGACACACGCATGCACATGACGTCCCTCCCCTCTCATCAGGATTATTTTCACCCTTACTTGGTAAATATAAAGAGCCAATAAATACTACAGAAGACTGTTTTGCCGTATCTTACAGGATTAGACTAGAAGTGTATGTTAGCGCCACACATTTTATACCCGTGGCCCACACCACACTTGACATGTGGTTTTGTTTTCAGGGCCCTGGAATGGCAAGGAAGTTCTCTGCACCTGGGCAACTGTGCATCTCCATGACCTCGAACCTGGGTGGCTCTGCCCCCATCTCTGCAGCATCAGCTACCTCTCTAGGTCACTTCACCAAGTCTATGTGCCCCCCACAGCAGTATGGCTTTCCAGCTACCCCATTTGGCGCCCAATGGAGTGGGACGGGTGGCCCAGCACCACAGCCGATTGGCCAGTTCCAACCTGTGGGAACTGCCTCCTTGCAGAATTTCAACATCAGCAATTTGCAGAAATCCATCAGCAACCCCCCAGGCTCCAACCTGCGGACCACGTAGACCTAGAGACGTTAGCCCAATAGATCTGGGGGCAGGAGATGGAATGCGGGGGGGGGTTGGGGGTGGGAAGTAGCCTGTGTACTAACTACTAGTGCTGCATTAACTGGTTATTTCTTGCCAGAAGGGAATGTTCTTCATACTGCATTGAGCCCTCAGAGTGGAGTCTCCCCCGCTCCAGTTATTGGCGTGGGAGAGGAAGGAAGGGAAGAACAGCTTTTTTGTAAAGGGGCAGCTTCAGACCATGCTTTCCTGTTTATGTATACTCAGTAATGAGGATGAGGGCTAGGAAAGTCTTGTTCATAAGGAAGCCAGAGAACGCAACGTAAAATCCAACCCATCTGTACTTCCAAGTGGGTGGGGCTCACGCCCCGAATCCCTCACTCCCTCAAGAATCTGAACCACAAGAGACAAAAACAACCTACTGGGCTCTCTCCTACCCTGCCCTCCTCCCTTTTTTTTACCCCTCTCTTTTTTATTTTGTTTTTCTTTGCTCTTTTAGAACCCAGTGAAAAATACCAGGGGACTGGGGTGCAACTCTTTCTTATGATAGGTCATTAGTGCTTTAAGCAAAAGATATTAGCAGCTTTGACTGCAGCATTAGCAATTAGGAAAAAAAAAAATTAAGTTCCCTGCGGACATGTAACTTTGCCATCAGTTTTGATGTGGAAACACTGTGATATATAAAATGTTGTTGGACAACAGTAGTTTTAAGAGTAAAATATGAAACGTTTAAAAAGTTCCAAAAAAAGCTAGCTCTGTCCTTTACTTATTGAGACACTTTAACTTTTTCCTTTGTATTTCCATTGTATTAGATGAATAAATGTGAATGTAAAATTGTATAAATTACTGTACTTGAATACTTCTGTTTCCCAGTGTTGCTTGCTGGACATTTTAGTGCCTTGGACTTCTATTGCTTCTGCCATTAGCATCAACTTATCAGACCCCAGATCAATAAAGGGCATGTGGAAGGAAATCTTAGGTCCATGTGACCCCAGCAGTCCAGCAGTGGTTATGCCAAAGGGAAATTGAAAAAGTATTTTTTTAAGTCCTTCAACAACTTTGTCTAGAGCAGGTGTAAGATGAGTAGGGTGGGAGGTTAAGTTGGCATCAGTGGTTAAAAACAGAAAGTTCTGTTTCAGGAATAGTGAGGAAGGGGGTGTTGTAACAAAATTGGGCAACTGAAAAGAATGGTGTGTGCTGGGTGAAAGACAGACTGAAGAACGAGGAAACAAACTTGTTTTGAAGATACGTGAAGCCTGGCCAGTGACTGTCATATAAACCTTTCTTTCTTGAGCTAGGCTTGAACAGACGTGACCTAGAAGAAATTGAACATAAAGAGAAGGGGGTGGGGGCTAGTTTTCAAGTTGGGGAACCTGATAGTGAAAAGTCACAGATGGAGAAAGTTGCTCTCAGAAAAACTGTTTGGATTGCTTTCCTTTGTTGCACATGTGCCGTGCATTTCTCAGCTTGGGGTACTATGTTTGGTGGAAAGTGAATCTTTCCACATCTGAATCTTTCCACGTCTGAATTACTCACTGTAGGAAAGAATACTTATTCCTACTCGTTTCCTTTATGATGTCCAAATGGTTGCAGGATCATCATCTATTGTGCCACCTTTATTTCTAGAAGTACAACTAATATGTTCACATTTTCAAATAAATATTCCCCGTAAGTAATAACTGCAACCAATCAGTGTTATTTAGTGCTATGCCTACTTGTAATGGGTAGTTATTATTTTCTGAGCTTTCCGGAAATACTGTCCTAATTGGCTGTGTTTAGGATCTTTGTTATCTCTGAAGACAGACAAAGAAGCTAGGACTCTTAATTTTGGGGTGCTTATTGACTCTTAGTTGGGAAACTGAAAATATTTCCAACCTTTTACCCACGTCAATGGCATATTCCGGAAATCACCACCACCACCACCACAGAAAGAGGCTGGAGGCTCCCGTGCCCTGTTCATTCCTTAAGGGCCCTGCTTCCCTTATGAAGTTGGTCTATGGCCCTAAATATGCAAATGAGAGCCGAAGGGTTTTAAAAGGTAGAAAGGAAAAGGGCAGGGGCTTCAACCCCTGCTATAAAACGACTGACTTTTATTCTCTGCTTCCATTTCTTGTGGAGGGAGTAAGGATAGAACCAAGGGGCTGAGTAGCTGAGAAAGGGGCCACCCAAGAGTGAAACATACTTTATACCAGAGGAGCAGGGAGCCTCATGCAGCACATTCTCATTGGTTCTTTGGGTTTAATAATTTTGACATCTTTTCACTCATGCACAAAAAGTCAGAACTGGTTTTATTTACTGTTGATTTCATCCTCCTGTGGATGAAATAACTGAAGCCTAGAGGAATGAACTAGTGCTACTGAACTGTTTAAATTATTTTTGTGTTAATAGTACACTTTGAGTATCTTTTTCCACATTAAAAACTTTCTGAATTATAAATGTTTTCCTTCCATTATTTAACAATGTACACTGTTTAAAGATAAAAATTCAAACTTCGGGGGTTTCCCAGCAGCCGTTAATTGTACATTTTGCACTAACTCTGGGTGTTGCGCTTCTTGTAAGATTGCGCTTTGTGCTTCAGTTTGTTACCTTTGTAGACTTATTTAATGAAACCATTCAAATAAACCAAACTTGCTTTTGTTGAGCTGTGGGGTTTCATTTCCAGAAAATTCCTTCACATTCTCATTGGCACTATTTTGAGTTACGTGCAATTGATAACTGGATTCCTAAGTCCTGGGAGCTCTTTTGCTGCCTCTTCATCTTCCAAAGGAATAGAAATGGTCGGCTGCCGGCTAGTACTTTCAGACTTCCTTATCTCAGGTTCACAGCTTCCCAAATGGGTCTGTGAGCCAAAAAATAAGAAGTCACTGCTTCAAGATTAGGCACAGCCAAGCCCCAAAATAGGTCTAAAAAAAATTACAGTGGCTGGATGCGGTGACTCACGCCTGTGAGTCCAGCACTTTGGGAGGCCGAGGCAGGCAGATCACTTGAGGTCAGGAGTTTGAGACCAGCCTAGTCAACATGGAGAAACCCCGTCTCCTCTACTAAAAATACAAAAATTAGCCGGGCATCTTGGTGGGTGCCTGTAATCCCAGCTACTCAGGAGCCTAAGGCAAGAGAATCACTTGAATCCCGCGAGGTGGAGGTTACAGTGAGCTGAGATCACGCCACTGCACTCCAGCCTGGGCTACAGAGCCAGACACCCTCGCGAAAAAAAAATAAAAAAAAATAAGTAAAATTGCAAACTTCATTATTTGGGGGGAATAATTATGAAACATCTGAACACTATGAAAAGCCAATTTATGGTCAAGGTGGGTTACATCTCACATCTGAAATGGGGAAGTAGAAACAGTTGTGTTTGAGTATCCCCGTAATTGAAATGCTCCGAGATCTGAAAATTTCTGAGCACTGACATGATGCCAGAAGTGGAAAATTCCACACATGACCTCGTGTGACAAGTCGCAAAGCACCAGGCATACAAGCTTATTCAGTGACCCTAAGAGAAAAAAAAGACCCAGTCCCCTTCAGCTGCAGTATCTCTTATACACAAGCTTTGTTTCATGCAAAAATTATGTGTATGAGGTACATATATGAAACACAGGTGAAGTCCCATCTCCAAGGTCTCACTATCTATATACAAATATTCAAAAAATGCACAATTCTGGTTTCAAGCATTTCAGGTAAGGGGCTAGGCAATATATATATATTCTATTTTGTTATAAGGTATACGATTTGCTTTCTCAAAAATGCCTTTTCTGGCCACAGTGGGTCACACCAGTAATCCCTGTATTTCGTAAGGCAGAGGTGGGAGGATCACTTGAGCCCAGGAGGTTGAGCTGCGTTTGCACCACTGAACTCCAGTCCGGGCAACACGGCAAGACTCTGTCTCAAAACCAAACAAACAAAAAATTGGTCTTAGATGATTATTTCCTTCCTTAGGAAAAAACTGTCAGTCTTGAGGTCTTGAAAGAATGCAGGATTTTAGTAATGTCGTAAACCCGTAAATCAGAGTTTATATTAAACGAAGACTGTAACCTGGATCGATGCGAAGTAGTAAAAGCTACTCCAACCCTTTTCCTGCCGTGATCCACAGCGTGTCATGTGGACAACATTAAAGGCATGGACCCTAAAGGAAAGAAGGCAGATGTCATGCAAAACAACGTAGGCAATTGCTGAGGCAGGTGCTTAGGACCAAGTCTGGCCTGTATTGCTTGAGCGCAGGGAGCCATTGGTGATTCCTAAAATGTCCATCTGTATTAATATAATAGTTTATTAATAAATAGTGGGAAGCCTCACAAGCCAAAGAAAAGCTATTTCATCTGTGCAGAGCCTCGCCCTACCCGAGTGGCAGACCAGCTTTCCAAAACTGCTCAGCTCTACCTGCAGTGCGCTCAGATCCTCTTGGTAAGGTTCAGAATGAAGCAAGATAAATCGCAATCAAGTTCATTCTCCAGGAGAGATGAACAATTTCATGACGAAAAAGCAGTTTTCCCAAGTCCCTTTGTGACAGAGTCCAGTCGCGTGGCTGCGCCTCAGTTAAGATGGATCGTATTTCCTTTTCTTCGTGTCCTGGCTCTTCCTGTGAGATTCCCAGTTTCCTGCGGAAGACAAAATGGCTTAAATGTAGCTGCCATGATTTTAAAATAAACTGACAGCTAATGGTTTCTGGATTATATTAATGATCCTAATCTAGACTAAGCCCAAGAAGGAGAATTACTGTTAGGAGGAAGGCAGATGAGGAGCTCACGACAGACCTGCTGCTGGGAGGCAAAGCTCTCCCTGCAGTCGCGCTTCCGCTTCCTGCTTTATCAGGAGCTGAAAAGGGCTGCACCTGCAGTCAGGAGCCCAAAGGAAAAGTTCTGGCTCTTAAACAATTATCTTCTACGTGTGGCGCCTTCCCTAATAGAAGCTCCCTGTTCTATCAAACTTCAAATGAAATGTCATCCTTCCCCAAAAATTCCCAGAATTAAAAGACCTCCCTTTAATTTTTGTGCCTAAACACCTCTCTGCTACCTGTTACGCGCTGGTCAGTGCTGTAAGTCTGGAGGTCCCAAGATCCAGATTTTGCTTGTGGTTTCTGGTGGCAAAGGGTCACCATCTGGTGGTTCAGGGCTAGTGGGTCAGCGGTCTGGGCTGGGTCTGCTCTAGACGAGGGCTTGGCCACACCATCCCCGGCATCCGGAGTCACAGCCCACTTTTCAGAGTTGTCTTCAAGAGTCTCTACAGAGGTCAAGGGAAAGTGTGTCATCAGCAAATAATGAAATATTCTCACAGAAAGCACTGGAAAAACTGGCCATCAGAAATTCCATGTCTTGAGTACCTTCTGAAAGCTTTTGGACTTTCTCTCCCCTCCCCCTCAAAGCACACTTCCCTTCGGTTAGGACGAAAGAGAAACTGGACATATGCGATCAGCCAGAACCCCTCAACGAACACCCACGGAAACGCGGACTTCTGTGCTGCCTAAAAGGTATTCTGTGGCTACTAAAAACATACAGCACAGTAGCTTACAAGCATTTCAAGGTATTTACTGATTAATTCTTGAGTCACTCCTGCAAGGAAGTCTTTCTCCGGGAGTGGTTCTGAGACGGCAGTTACAGGAGTGCTGTGCGTCAGAGGAGGGGCCGGAGGCGCCGCTACGGTTCACAGAGGAGAGAAAGGACAAGTCATGATCACATCACTACATGGGATTTCAGAGCTGAGTCCACTCCCCTCTCGTCAGAGGGCACACTCTCAGGACAACACCGCTTCGGGCTGCACTGCCTCAGCCAGTAAAAAGAACTTCGGATTCCCGAGTCCCAGTCCCACCTACAGATCTGTCTGTGGTTTGAATTCTTCTCACCAGTGGGAAAGACAAGTTTCTTTTCTCTTTTCATAGCAAAAGTAAAAGGGTTCTTACAGGCTATCTAGTCCAGTGTCTGGCTTGCTTGTTGCAGCCATAACCCTTGCTCAAACAAAATCTTAAACTAAAATCTGACCAGGCGCAGGGGCTCACCCTGTAACCCCAGGACTTTGGGAGGCCAAGGTGGGAGGATCACTTGAAACCAGAAGTTCCAGACCCCACCTCTACAAAAAATAAAATATTAGCGGGTGTGGAGCATGCACTGGTAGTCCCAGCTACTCAGGAGCGGAGGAAGGAGGATCACTTGAGCCCAGGAAGGTCAAGGCTGCAGGGAACCCTGATCCCACCACTGCACTCCAGGCTGAGTGACAGAGCAAGACCCTGTCTGAAAAGAAACCAACAAACAAAATCTTAAGCCAAAACCTGATGTGTGAAATGGATTAAAATGACAATAGCTCACGTTGTCTGCCAAGGGGCAGGAAAGGCCTGGAGGGCAGCTTCCTCCACAGTCTACCCGGGAGCCTCTGCAATGGTTGAGAAGCTAAACATCTAGAATCACGCTCGGTAAGGACATCCACGGGACAGGAAGTGGTTCTGTTTGAGTTGTTTTTTTTTTTTTTTTTTTGTGAGTCTCGCTCATCACAGGCTGGAGTTTTGAGACGGAGTCTCGCTCTGTCACCCAGGCTGGAGTGCAGTGGCGCAATCTCGGCTCACTGCAAGCTCCGCCTCCCGGGTTCATGCCATTCTCCTGTCTCAGCCTCCCGAGTAGCTGGGACTACAGGCGCCCGCCACTGCGCCCGGCTAATTTTTTCTATTTTTAGTAGAGACGGGGTTTCACCATGGTCTCGATCTCCTGACCTTGTGATCCGCCCGCCTCGGCCTCCCAAAGTGCTGGGATCACAGGCGTGAGCCACCGCGCCCGGCCCTGTTTGAGTTTTTATGTTACTTTCAGCCTGTGAGTGCTGAGGGGCACATCAGTGAACCACCATGGAGCCAGTCCTCTGAATCTTCTTCACAATTCCTAGGGAAAAACTAGGCAAGAGCTCGACGGATCTGGGACAAGGCTTCTCTCTGTTTCCACTCTGAGTAAGGACTACCTGCCCCTGGACGGGCAGGAGAGAACAGGAGGGGAGACAGAGAAGGAAGAGAGGAAGGCGTCTGCATCACTGTTCCCACTGAACCTGGACTCCGAAATTAACTAAAGTTGATAGATAAACCATCTGCCAAAGGTCCCCGTTATTCTCAACCCCAATTCTGCCTTGTATTTGAGGACATCTCAGAAACAAGGCTTGTTTTTTTGTTTGTTTTTTTTTTGAGGCCAGGTCTCCTTCACTCTGTCACCCAGGCTGGAGTGCAGTGGCACAATCCTGGCTCACTGCAACCTCTGCCTTCTGGATTCAAGCAATTCTCCTGCCTCAGCCTCCTGAGTAGGGGGGACCACAGGCATGTGCCACCACACCTGGCTAATTTTTATGTATTTTTGGTAGAGATGGAGTTTCGCCATGATGGCCAGGCTGGTGTCAAACTCCTGACCTCAAGTGATCTGCCCGCCTTGGCCTCCCAAAGTGCTAGGATTACAGATGTGAGCCACCGTGCCCGGCCAAGGCTTTCTAATGTAGAGATGGCCAAAGTATTTGAAGCAAAAAAAAAGTTATTTACCCTGAAATTTCTAATTCTAGAAGATTTTATCAATGCCCATTTAGTTCCATGGGGGGAAAAAAAAATCACTGTCTTTAGGAATGGGAAAATGTATGGCAGATTTAAATATCTGAATTTCCTGGGCTCATCTCTCCTGCGTGTGGCAT